CAGACACACTACACGTACGTTCAAATTTATTGAAGCGGCTGCTTTCTGGGTTAAGTGAAAAATGCAATTAGTGAGTGAAATTGCGATAATCGAATTGTTAGTGCACGTTTTTCAGAGTAAATAGATTTTCAAATGGCACCGATGAGAGGAAAATAAAAACGAAAAATCGTTCACAATTAAATAAATTTCATTCATTTAAAATTCAATTAATAAGCTGTGTCGTTTGTTTTTGACATGCATAAAAGGGGAAATGTTCATAAATTGCAGCAAAAACAAACTTGTAATTGAGATCATTTATCGTTGCTTTCCTCATTTATATATGAACAAAAAAAGAATTGAACGCGAAAATATGATTTATTTCCCCGATTTCCTTAAACGGGTGTGTGCTTGCGCGCTCACTCACTTGCCGCGAACGCAAAAAGAAAAACGATAAATTGTACGATTTCGTGCTGGAAATGTGGACGCGAAATAAGACAAAACAATGCCTAATGAGACAACTGAAGGTCATCATCCCATTCTCGCATTCGATTCAACGCCATTCGCCACTTTTGGCCGCGCTTTCAATGGAATCGAATGTTTGCGAAACAAATCAATAATTGAAAAATAATTATGATAATTTGAAATTGTTTTGCTGAAAAGCGAAAATGACAAATCTATAATGTCAATTTAATGGAACGGGATGGAGAGCCTAGCATCACAGCACAACGCACGGCTGGGAAAAAACAAAGACAAACCATTTAATGAAAACAAATGTGATTTTAAGTCGCATGACAACCTTCAAGTCGAGACACATTCTTCGAACGCAATTCCAATGGAAAGGAAGTGAATGAATGTACAACAGCCGCTACTGCTGATGATGATCGCTTTTGCAATCGAACACCTTTGCATTCTGGCCTATTCTTTATATTGTGTTAGTTTCATTTAACAAAGTAACTGGATCTAATGAGCAAATCTGATGCAATCGATTGTAGTACACAAAATATGCGTGCTAAAGGCAAGTAGCTGCTGCATTGACAGCATTATGTAAATGTATCATTGGCTTCGTCTACATCTCTGAATGCTGTGCAGATGAGATTAATGTGAATAAAAATAAAGGAATTCTGCAGGCACTACATTAAGGCTGCACTAATTAAAACTGTACACTTCATTTCAGTCGCTGTTGTGTCTGCACACAGCATCGCCTTTGTCACATTTGTTTCAAATGTGGTAGCACGCTCGCGCCAGCGAGCGAGCGTCTAGTGTGTTTGAATTTTTGATTTGTTCACGGTGACATATTTCTAAACAACTTTTTGTATAACTTGTTGTTGTGTTTAATTGCGATCGGTGCTGCTGCCGCCGCTGCCGATGTTGTTGCTACTGCCACAGCGAGAACGGGAGCAACGCATGACATGCAAAACACAGTAAGCGAACGGTAATTTTCACAATAAATTTACACCAAGTTTAATTTTAAGTGTTTAATGCACATTTTAAATTACGACACACACACACACATCTACATTCAAATGGTTTTGAGAATTGTTGCTGCAGCTGCCTCGGCCATTTTTCTTCATAATGGAATTAAGTTTCGCTTGCTAAAGATCATTATAATATAAATTAATTCAATAACCATTCGGTTCACTTGTTCACTTACGGAGAGTGTGCCAATTACAACATTGCGAAATAAAAGCGTAAAATGAACGCTTGTCATTTTTCGGTTGTTCATAACGTGGCTGTAAATTAGAATAAGTGTATCGACTTTCAGCAGGATCAGGATAAGTGATTTCTGTTGCGTTGCCAAAGTGTTAAGTGGTCTAATTTCCGTTTGTACAACTTTAATCGCTGTGATTGATTTTTGCCGGCGGCACCGTTTATGTCAGAACATTATTCTTGATTTATGAGTAATCAATGAGTGTAATGTCATACAAGTATAACACAAGTGGCGCAAATCGTCTTATCCATGTATGCCGATGTGACTTAACAAGCAGATAATTATATTCCGCGGAAAAAAAACCATGTAAACAAAAAGCCCAAAGCGAATTTTGCGAGCATTTTTCTTTGATCGTTCAGCAAATTTTCCGTTCGTTAATTGACCTGTTAACAAGAACAAGTACGACATTGACGTTTATGGAAAAATCGATCATAAACTTTTTCTATTGGATATTGTGATTGTTGTTGCGTATTAGAAAATCACGTTGACAAGAAATGAACGGAAAGAAGGAGAGAGGGAGAGAGAGAGAATTCTTTTGCGTATAATTAACATGTTCTGTGTTTTCATTCGATCATGTTTGGTTGATCGTTCCCAATAACAGTGTGTAATTAATGGTGTAAAATTTGAAAAATGCATTTCCCGGTTCAGCTCAATAAAAATAGCCATGATGAGGCAAATGCGAGCCAACGCAAAAATAGTGCGTTGAAAATGTTAATTGCCAAAAAAAAAAACAACGAAACAAAAGCCCGAATGTGTCATTTTACTTTGTAGCGGCAAAGCTGTTGAATTTTTAATGAAAGGAGTCAGTATGGCGGGACGGCATTGCTTTGCGCCACTTGATCGATGGGTACTTGCATTGCTGCCGTGCCACACAACTCATTCGCACCGAACGGACAGCAAAAATATTTATGTCAATCAATAAATGTAGTGTCATGCATAAATCGTTGCACTGCCAACGAAATTCTATTTAGCCGTTGACTCTCGCCGAGCATACAAACTGAGTGTGGCTTTATGGTGGCGTTTATTCAAATATTCGTCGCATATACAATAATTCCTCTAAATCCAATTTTCATGTGAAGCTCACGCAAATACTTTCGAAGGCAATCAAAATAAACAAACAGCAGCAACAGCAGAAGAAGCACAATAACGACCGTTCAACATGAATATGGTCGCGCTGTGTGTTTGTGTGTGTGTCGAAACGACGACTTTCTTTCATTCTTTCGCACTCAGCATGAGAGCACCACAGCATACACACATTTTTCGTTTTCTGTTTTTTTCAGATGGCACAAAAGCACACACGCATTCGCATTCGCATACTGTATGCGATACTCATAGGCAAATCGATATGAGGTACACCAATTTCAAATGCGCCGCCAATTTATGTTTGTTTAATAGGTTTACTATGTTCGTAATGTCATTTTCAATCGAAGTAGCGCAAGAAGAAAACCACGAACGAGAAATAAGAATGTGTGTTCGTGATATTTGAACGAGGAGCGCAGCAGTGCTCGATTTGACAGAATTAGAATATTGAAATGTTCCTTTGATGTTGCCAATTGACTTGTGATTCGCGGATAGAGAAGAGATCGTGGTTTTCTAATTCGGTGCACACGGTGAAAGTTGAAATTGTCTGTCGGACAACGACGACGACGACGATGATGACGACGGCAGCTACAGCAACAGCAGTAGCAGTCGAACCATCAGTACCAATAAAAATCCAATCGAAGCAAATTTAGAGCGAGTCAAATTGCATTTTTATTCGATTCGGATATTTGCCATCGACATAGTTACATTCGAAATGCATCGATTGGCATGCATAGGTGCCATTCAATGGTAATTTTAATGCCATCATCAAAAGTACATCAAAACCAATTACAACAAATTCACGCACATCGGTTCGTTCGTGTGATGCTCTCGCGATTCTCATTTTTCACAAACTCTCACTTTGCGAGGTTCGCGGTTGGTCGCATTGTCAGAGCTCTGAGTGAGACTATTTTGGAATGAAAATACGATGACTCTGCGCGGCGTGCGTAGTTGAAACAGAGTTGCTTGCTTGCCTGCGTACACAGAGCAGATAGAACGCACGAAGAGCAACTTTTATTATCACCAACATGCGATATAGTATATTGGTATATTGCGATAGACTCGAGAGCTTCTACCATACAGACAACGAAATTGATGATGGAACGATGAGAATACGTACATACATTTTATAGAGCATTTATAGATTGGTGTATGTACACCACACAACTATTATATTAATTCATGAGTTTTGCCTGGGTTTTTAGCGAGAAAGGAAAGCACATTCGTCGACAATTTTTATCGATTTGTAATTTCGCTCGCTGTCTCTCTCTCGTTCTCTATCGTGTACAGTTTGAACACGCCAATCCATTTCATTGGAAAACGACAAGAGACACGATGTGGCAATGGCATTGAAAATGAAATATAGATAGACGATGAAATACAATTGGTAAAGATTTTTTAATACGCCCCGGCATCGCAGCACAACACAATATAACGTAAGCATTACCATATAGAAACAATTCAAAAACGTCAAGTGCATATTTATTATTTGTAAAAAATAAACACCAGACGAAATGAAAAGTTTCACGTTTCCGTTTCAATTTGATTATTGTTCTTTTGTTTGTTTCTCGGCGTTCCTTTTGAAATGGAAATGTATGCGATTATATGTGAAGTGCGGCCGGAAAATTCGTTTTTCATTTCCTTTTCGTCCTCTTTTTTCAATTCTCTTTTTTCTTCTTTTTCAAAGTATATTTGCCCGTTTTTCGATAGTGCTAATCTTGCGACTTGCTGGGATTTTCGCTTGAAGAGTCATTCGAGCAATGAATCACACCGATGAAAATCATCGCAACACTCATACACCACCCAGCCAAAGTTGCACCAAACCGACAGTCGCTCACCGACTGCGGAATTTTTCCTTTCGGAATTGAAACGACGAAGAAAAAAAAACCGTACGGAAATAGATTTACGGCGGTGACTGTCACTAAAGTGGCGTGCTCGAAGAAAAATTTTTTCGAACAAATTGTGAGCCGCAGACAAAACGATTCTATCGCATTTTTGGTTTGTTGTTTCGTTGACCTGTCATACATTGCTGCCTTTGCCTTGATACGACGGAGCCATGAGACGTGATAACATTTCGGACTTTTAACGAAAAATTTCTATCGGCGATTTGAGTCAATTCACGGAATGTTCATGCTGTGACATGGCCGATGCAATTTAATGAGTTCATTTTCGGGTTGAAGATTATCGCTACTTTTAAAGTGTATATGTAAAAATAACAAAGTCAAGCACAAACCTTATCTTCACCTTTAAATAGAAGTTGGTGATAAATTCAGAATTTTGTCAGCTGAATGAATTGGGTTTTGAGTAAAATACCCAACAATTTCAATGATAACACACAACGAATGCACAGAAAACTTTCTATAACACACGCACAGGCTATATATAACCAATATTCTCCAGAATGAAATCAGTTACTTAATCAGCACACACGCGAAACTGAGTAAGAAGAAATAAATTAATTTTTACTGCTTCTGATAAGAATGACTTGTGTTGTTGGTATTTTGAGTTCGAATCACGTGACCGCAGTCCATAAAGTATAAATCATATGAAATGTGTAATTTTATCAAAGTTCGAATCGAATCAAAGTTTAATGTAGATTAGTCACTTTCAATCAATCGAAAATAAACAAACAATCGATTTGGTGTTTGGTCTTAAATAGTTCCGCATTCACACTGCATTCGGTTTGTGTATCGAGAGTGAGGACAAGAGAACATTTAGTGAATAGGACAAGTTTTTTTCTGTTTTCACATCTTTCAAGATTGTTGTCAAGGAAAAGTGAAATTGGTCGGTCGAAGTGCACTTTTCCTTTTCGTTTGACAATCAATCGGTGTCGGGTGGTTCACAACTACAATGCACACCGACGATGATGACGATGACAACGGAGCGAAAAACGTTGAACGTTTTAGCAAATACACAAGAGAAAATTCAATCCACAAAAACCTTCAACGTCCAAAGACACACAGTCTTTCTATGTGGAAGAAACAAATCCGGAAAAATTCATGCAAAAGTTCTAACTCGGTGTTCTTTTTTATGTGGCGCATGTGCACCTAATTGCAATTGTTTTTCAATGTTCAACCGTCTTAAGTATTTTCTAATTTTTTCTTTTGAAAATTCACACCAATTGACACATGAATCAGAGATTGTCTTTTGATTATTTTTTCTCGTTAATATTGACGACTCACAAATACTGGTACGAAATGAAAACACAACATAAAAACGAATACAAAGAACAAAAAAAATGTACGTGACGTTCGTTCCACTGCTGACTTACGACTGACATGGAATGAACGAATCATATGGGCGCTGGATTGAAATTTGCTTGTTATTGAATGCGGTGTGTCAGTTCGTTTGTGTATGCGAGAGTATATGTGTTGTGCAGCGGTTCGACGTTGCCGCTATCGCAGCATTCTTCTTCCGTCTTCATCGTGCTGTTTGTGTGTATGAGAATGAAGCATTCGACTGTGCAATTTTTGTTTCGCCTATGTTTGCTGCGTTTGTTATTTTTCGTTTTTCATTCTGTCTTCATTTTGGTGCCACGCTCGATGTGTGTCGATTCGCTACTGTTGCTTTCGGCTGATCGTACGCAGGCGTACTACTGCAAGGTTCCGCATGTTTTTTATCATGCGTTCGATACGCGGACTCACACAATGTGTATGGAATGCGACCGTTTGAACGCACGCAAGAGCCAGAGACAGGGACAGAGACAGAGTCACAGCTAACAAAACACCGCTAAATTGAGAGAAAACCGAATGAATATACACCATACGTGCAATCAGATAATTACGATGGTGTTGATGGCATTTTCTTTTTTTTCGGTTGCTTTAAACTCGTGCATCACCTCAACGTCTAGACTGGCGCGAGCGCGAGTGCGAGTGCGTATGTTCTACTACGGAAGCCCCTATTTTAATTGCCCATTTATGTTGTGCTATCGCTAACAATTATGCTCGTAGGTCATAAAATTGTGTCACATTCAATAAGGCAATTTTAATTCGAATGGGAGAAAAATTGAACATTCAACGTTGTCTTTTTTTGTCTTGCATTGCATTGAATCACTTTTTATCGCCCTTCCGCATGCATTGCCATTTCATTCCGCATGAACCGCGATATTCATCCACGGGATGGAAAACATGTTGCGCACACACACACACACACACACACACACATGTATGCCAACCGAGATGCATCACTTGCACCAATTTTTTATGCGAAACGCGAACGAAATGGCCTTGTTCACGCATTTCGCATTGAGGGTGTTATTCCACTTAAAACGCTCTTTTGCTCTCATATCCGAAAGTTATGAATCATCATACAACCAAAATGTGATTCATCCAAACCATGACCTTACTTCTGACCTAGCACGCATTGCTACTCATGAAACAGTTTTCGACAGCGATGAAATGATAAATGAACATTTTATCGCTAATAAACAATAATTTGTCACAATATGGTTTAAGTCAGCTTACTAAAATTGGTCAACTACTGGGAGAAAAAAACAACCACTTCGAACAAAAAGAAAATCATTTTTGGAAGAAAGTCATTATATGCCTTTTGTCGCTCGATTTATCATCGATTGTTTTCAAAAAAGGAGATTCAATGCTCTCTTTTATGTGTTTGTGTTTTTTTAACGACCTTGCAATACATTGAACTTGAGTCGAAAACAGTTTGGGTACAACAAAAATGAATTTTTCAGCCAAATAAAGCATTTTAAATGACAAACTAATTCCGAAGTTACAATTAACTCTCTACAAAGAATGTATCTTTTAATTAAGTACATTTCGTCGTTTAATTTATTGGATCAGATTTTTTTTTTGCTAAATAACAATGTTGATCTTTCTTTGTAATGGAAAAAAACGAGAGAAAACAAAATTCACTTAAAATACTTCGAGTGCACCATTCATTAAGCTTCGTCGCAACATTGTATGGAATTTATATAATAATCTTTTCATTCAATGAAAAAATATCTCGCAATTATTCGGGACAACTGAAGAACAGACATAAAATATTGTAAAATAATAATTTGCAAGTGTAATTGATCATCAACACCATATTTGGTGCACCAGAACAATTTATTACGAATGGAATAAGAAAAAAAAAACAAAATAATGACATAATACCAAGCAATATCCCTCAACTTTGACTAGAAAATTATTATCCTGCAGTCATACACAATGCTTAAGCCACACAATTAAATGGATTTATTGAGATTCGGTTATTGTTTTTCTCTCATTGATTGCACTCAATTTTTTGATCGTTCATTCTTCATTCATTCACACAGCAGCTCCCATTCACTGCACCGACGTTTTTTCTTCATCATGCGTTCAACATTGTCCGTTCTTTTATTGCCTTGTTTATGAGATCAATTAGTGTGTGTGTGCTGGTCTGATCTGGACCGCAAGCATTGAGATAAAGACACACCACTGCCAGGCAGTTGCTTCCATTTATGGTATGCAATCATAAAATGACACATGGTAATTCTTTTTGGCGGTGTTTTTCGAAGTCTTTTTTATGCCACAATGGGCCGCGATCGCTGCTCGTGCGATTCTCTCATCTTTTATTCAGTGCATATTATTTCGTAATTGTGTCTTCTGGTGTTGACTTGAACAATCTCCCTCTCGACGGGCACATAATGAAGATATGTGTTTTAAAGACACAAGCGACTGTGCACTGTTAATCCAAAGTGTCAATAGTTCTACGTCGAACACATGGATACGTACGGGATGTTGGTGGATGATGTTGTAGCCCGTAATTGATTTATACGACATCAAGTTTACCTTATAGTTTTGTTTACAATAATCGATCGTCGTACGGATGACACTTTTCGTTCCTTCCCATTTATTCTGCTTTGCACAACCTTTGCAGTGGCCTTGATACACTTGACACCATTCGGACCATTTCTCTTGTCAGTTCTCGTTGACTTTTCGAGAATAGTTGCACGATTCGGTGCTGCTGCATGAATGCACACCAAAAAAAGATAGGAAAACCAAAACAATTTCCAAAAATGGATAACGCTCCTTAAAAAAGGCAATCAAATCGGTTATTGCACCTTCGATGAAATCGTGATTGTCGCCACAACGCCGTCCTTAAATTCAATCGATTTATTTTTGGAACAAAAAATTCACACAAAAGGCAATTGCTTCGAAAAGTGATGAAACTACTGAAAATGAGTGATGGTCCGCGGTCGGTCACGATTTTCGCGATGCTGATAAGAGATAGAAGTTTGGTGTCTTCGACAAATTTATAGTACTCGAGGTCCACTATATTTTTTCACAGCTTTGCCGTTAACAACCACTTCTTTTATTGCCAAGATTTCCATTGTGTGACGAATGGTGTAAAATTCTTCAACGTTCAAATTTTTTTCGTTATTAAACAGTTTTTTTTCTCGATTTGAATGAAAGGGAAGTAATAAATATTGAAAAAAAAGACCAAAACTAAAACTTGATATGAAATCATTTCATTTTTATTAGCTAAGTAGTAAGTACATTGTTCTTCCATGCATTTTTTTCCGATTTCCCACAATAGCGTTTTTCCGAGAATTTTCCAAAATGCATGTGTGCTGTGCATAGTAATTTGCCCACATATATATATATGGGCCCACATTTGTGTAGAAAAAGTTCTACGGCTCAAAGTTTTGGTGCTGGTGTGCCCAATATGTGTTGGTAAATCATTTTGTAGTTGTTGTTTTCAATTGTTTTCAACAATTACTTTTCATCTTTTGACAAACTTTCAAATGCAGTAAGTATAAATATACTAACCCGTTTTGGGTGTCTTTAGTTTTGTTTTCATGGAATATAAAAATCATATTGATATCAATTGAAATTTCAACTAATATCATTCGAAAGAAAACATTTCTATTACGAAAACGAAGTCTCTTTATTCACAAATTTCATTCTTGATAAGGCTGAAGCACTTCGGGCTCTGTGTCAGACCAAAGAGTTTCGCCTTCTTCTCCTATGCTTGGTAAACGTTCTTCGCCACCAGCATCTGTTGCGTCTGTTTGAACGTCCATCATATCGGAATTATCATCATCATTGTTAACGGCACTTGAAGGGCCGGCCTCATCATCATTTGCAGCTTGTTTTTCTAACGCTTCCAATTGGCTGATTGCTCTGCGATTCAGTGGGTCCAAACTGTAGAAATAGAGGTTAATTTAATCAGTAAAATTCGATTACGGCCACTCAGTGACATGCAAGTTGTTTGTACATACTTTATGGCTTCTGTGTAACATTCAATCGCCTCTTTTCGTTCCTGTCTCTCCGCATAAATATCGCCGATCTTCGAATAGATTTCGGGTGACGGTCGAACGGCAGCTAGTTTTCGAAGCAATTGAATCGCTTTTGATGTATTCCCTTCTTCGACTAACAATGTGACCAAAAACAGAATGGCGGGTTGATAGTTTCTATTCATTTTCAGTGCTTTTTCTAAAAACGGTTTAGCCTTTGCTCTGGCCTGTTGTGTGTTACCGGCAATATAAGTTTGTGCACCCAACTGAAACGTAGCAAAATTACGTAGGTTTGATTTCTTCAATTGTATTTCACTAGGTTATTATGATAATTACCACATAGATTCTAGGTGATTTTCCCAGAATTCTACAAGCTTCGATCGCTTGGAGTTGAGCTTCACGCCAACGGGACACTCCGATGAAAGCATGCACCAGACATTCATGCACCTCAAATCGATAGTTTGCAAACTGAAGCAACAGTTTTAATTGGATCAAGGCTTCATCGTGCTTCTTCATTTCGAGGAATACGCGAGCTGATGAGAAAACCGAAATTTCATTCATTATTATTGATTTATTTTTTATGGACTATATCCATCACAACATCGAGTGTCATTAATGGAATCTATTTCATTTGTTCGTAAATGCATTTTCGAATAAATTTAGAAAACGACGCACCTTTCAGCAGGCAAGCTTCGATATTCCGTGGATTCAGGTAACACGCTTTATGCGCAAAATATGATGCTTTATCGTATTTTTTCATCACATAATAGTGATATCCAAAGATGAGCCAATGTTCTGACGAATACTCGGCTGGGTTCATAAAGAGCTGGGTCAATTTTTCCAATTCGGCGGCATCACCTTTCTTGGCATAGATTGCGCCCAATATACCTATACGATTTTGAAGAAAAATAATGGAAATAAACACAAAAATCTACAATGAATCCAAACTTGTATGATTTCAATGAATAAATATACTCACTAAGTCCGTCCAAAATGTAAAAATTGTTCGCGTGTGCGCGCTGCAGATGGTTCAAAGCGATGTCGTGTTCACCATTGTAGTAATAACATTGTCCAAGCATCACAGTAGTGAGTTCATTGTTGCCAAATGGTGATGTGGAACGTAGTGTTTCAAGATTTGAGATCGCTTCGGTGAATTGACATTTGCGAATGGCCACATTGACTTCGAGCCAACTGTTGATCCAGTCTACTAGTTGAATGGGGAGACTTGCTGCAGAAAAACAAACGATTTAATAAAAAAAATGTCAAAGAAATGTGATAATTCTACCCACTTTCGGAAACAATGTTGCTAATCTCTAGTTCGGACACGCCGAGTGTCAACAATCCTTTCATCGCTTCCAAATTCATTGGACTGTCTCGAACAACTGCTTTGTATGCAGTTTCAGCATTTTGACACTTTCCCAATTGCATCGATAGCTTGCCGATCATCATGTTGATTTTGAGATTGCGTTGACGATTCGAAATACTGTTGAGTGCAGCTAGGGCTTCCGACATTTCATTCATTTGTTCCAGGCAAATTGCAATTTTATACCGTACTTCGTGCTCGGGGAACATCTCGACGAGATTCTCAAAATTCATTGACATCGGGTTTTTACTCTTGACAATCGCTTTGCGTGCAACCAGTGCAATCCGATAGATGTGCTCCGCTTTGCGATATTGTTTTCGGTAGAAATGACTGTTGGCACTGTACATTTGCAGCAAAAAGTATTGTTCAGGTATTAATATAGATCTATCTCTCTCATAGCTCGCCTCCATTATCGCGCCCTGGAAACCACCGAATTCAATTAGACAGATGTTTGGCTTGACTGATGCCGGTATTTTTTTTTTCTTCACTGTGTTGCAATTTATCCAGTTTAGAGTTTACTTACCACAGGCTGAACTTGATCGTATAACTCATTATCGTATAATTTTTTCAGTTGCACAAATAATGTATCCATTTTGTGTTGACTTATTCTGCTTAAATTACTAATAAAAAAAACAATTCACTACAAATTCTGTTAATTTCTATGCATTCCAGTACTTGCATTTATAAAAAAGTGACATTTGCTTAACGCGACGAGTGCGTTCTGAATGTCGGCCAATGTTGACATTGTGGAGACTTTTTGAATTGCAAATCAAAACAATCTTTTGTATGTGAAATACAAATACCTCGACAAGATTGTTGTTTACAGTAAAAAAAAAACCATTGAAAAATCAATTCAAAAATCTTTGGTTTTTAAATTTAAAAAAAAAACGGATTTTAATTTTTCGTCTTCAAAGACTTGTTTACAATCTAAATTGTACAGGAATCAATTATTCTAACAAACACATTAAAATCTAATTTGATTTTGAATTTTCTGAACCAGATGCAACATAACGATCAATATAATGAATTGTTTCAAATGCAACTTCGACCATAATCAAGACGATGATCATCCATTCTAAGCGAACGTGATGCGCATCGTTTAAATTAGATGAAATCAATTCGGTGAGCTCGATACAGTGGCTGATTTTTTCATTGATCACCTGAAATTCGAAGAAAATTATTCTTATGAATAAATTTTGCAACTAAACAAGCAACCAGCAATTGAAATGTAAACAATAAGATGAAAAATGCTTCTGATTTAGCCTACTTACCCTCTTCCGCCGTGAAATACTAAAGTAGGAACACGTTTTTGTGAACAGTTGTTCGAGTGCCTCCCGATCCCAGTAAAAGTCGGGCGTCTCTAACAAATCCGATTCCAAATTGATTAAATGCTTTAGCGCGAATAATTGACCAGTCTTCTGAAGAATCGATGCACGTGACATTTTGATTCGACGTCCATCCTTTAAATCGCACGTTACGGTGGCCAGTCCATCGATGTAATCGTCCAAAATTGCTTCCCAAATGGCCAATTTCACCGAGCTTGTCATTGCATTCGAAAAGGTGTACTTCTCCAAATCGCCTTCTACATTCAGTTGCACATAAAATGTTTCATCTTTCAAACAACCACTTCGATCATCGACATAAGCATAATTCATGAATTCTTTTTCGGCCTTTATAACCGCATCATCATATGGGCTGATTTCAAACTGCTTCAAATTCCGTAAAATTGTTTTTGTTTCTGGTCCGCTGCAATTCCACAGAACGACACTGCCTTCGCGAAAGAAGAAAATGTCCCGTGGTTCTGGTTCAATGTTGATTTTCGACCGCACATGTAGCACATCTTCACCGCCTTCTGTGTAAAATTTTTTCGTTTCGTACAAATCCTGTTTGGTTAGTGCTGTGTGCAGTGACTCAAGGTCATATTCGTCGGCCGTGGCATAGGCAAAAACATTGAATTTTCCCTCTTTGCCTTGTTCATCTAGTCGTTTTTTACGTAATGGTCGCTTCTTAACAACCAGTGCATTCGGCCGAAGACTGTTCTGGTGATTAGGAGATGAATGCACTGAACGTTGCAAACATGGTGATAGTACCGGCAATCGATTTTTTCTTGACAACGTCTGTAATCCGGAACTTGGTAATTTTACTGTTGAAACACTTTTGAAGCTCACTGATCGGCATTGCAAACGGAATGACCGAATGGCCAGACCAGACACACTTGAAATAGACTTTGCGAAATTCATTGCATCATTTGAAATAACATTGCTTGAGCATTGTCTTCAATCATATCTAAACTTGTCAACTATCCGCATGCTGCACCAAATGTCAGATGTGTAGAATAGTGGTTTTTTTTTCTGAAGTTGACAGCTTGACAGTCAAATGCAAACATAACCTCAATAATATAATTGAATGTGCAAAGACTGTGTTCATTGATTTTATTCCGACTTTGTGTGATTTTTCAATAAAAAAAAAATCCGAAGAAATGTTCATTACGGCCATTCAAAATGTCATCAAGCGGGAGCTGTTCAGAGGAAGCATGCATCGTGGTAAATACAGATACGTCAGACCGATTAAAGCCAAGGAAATGCAATTGCTACGAGAAGAGTATTTGCGAGAAGAACGAGTCATGCAATTGCTTTTAAATCCCTATTTGAAACAGGTAATTGAAGAACCACACAGAATACGTTGAAGAATTTTCATTTGAATCTACTATTGAACACTTGAGTGCAACAAATTGTATTGTGATTTATTTACTTCGATTACCTCGATTGATGTTTTTGATTATGATTCACAGGAGGAATCGCTTGGACATACCGCAGCATTCGATAAAAAAGAAAAACGTTTAGAGGAAATCAGAGAAGGACGACGCATAGCTAAGCTTAAGCCAAACACACTAATTGAAGATCGACTCAAGCATTTAACAGTTAAAGATGTCTGGGATTAAATGAAACATACATAAAAAAATTAAGTTGATTTTCAGTGAAGTGCTTCAGAGCGTTGTTTTATTTGTGTACACTAATAATGGATGCATTTATATGAAATAAATCGAAACGATAAATGCATACAAATCGAATTTTAATCAAACAATAATTTTTTATTTCAGCTGATGAGATAGTCTTGGTGTCCATACAAAAGAATAATGACACTGTAGCATCTGCAATTGGCTGGTTCTTTAAAAAATTTTCCTATCGCTGAAATGATTCGACTCATTAATGAGTCAAAAATCGGTCGAATTAGTTTGATGCCAAAAAATGTTACGCTTGTGGATACAAAACATTTTGTCCGAGAGTTTCGCATCATTTGTCCTATACAGGCTGCAGACATAGAACCAAATTCGATGAGAAATAAAAAAAAATTCCATATTTATTTTCATATTCACCCCATTCTCTTGGCAGAACAATGTCGCGAATACTTCTTTCGATAATTGTGAATTCGTAGCAGAAAAGTTTAAATATTAGAAATTTCAAAATTGATAAGCCATTCCTTAAAGAGACTTTGGCCATGCAAAATTTTTGATGACGATAAATCTCATGGATTGTTGGATGGAATGGTAAAAAAAAACAGAGAAAAACTTACAATATGTACAATTTTCAATTGGTCGATCCTTCAGAATTTTTTTTAACAACACAAAGCCATAGAATAGAAAAACAATTAAACAAAAACGTTGATTTAGTAACGTACGTTAAAATACAGTTGTTTTATTCATTAACAATTGCTAAAGCGAAAGGCTACATTTAGTTAAAAAAAATAAAAAAAAAATGCTAAATTCATGAGTAACGAACTTTATTTAAAGGTGCTAAATAAAAATAATATATAGTTTCTAGGCTTTAACTGGTTGAATACTTTTGGTCCATGCGAATGGGTCGTTTGATCCATCGAGTTCAAGTTTGTGAATCGATTTACCCTGTGACTGAAGTTCGGCAAACTGCGAAACGATCGGATCTCTTTGGCACGATGCCATTCCGCACACGTTGCCGTCTTTGTTCAAAAAGATTGCCACAAATTTCAGCTCATCCAGGCTGCCAATAATTCGTGTTTCATGTGGTGTTCCATATCCTGAGTATCTGAACGATTTTCCAAATAATGTGGTCCAGAAATAAGGCACGGCTTGTAAACCTGTTTCATTTCCTGCCATATTTTTAGCGGCAACATGACCATGGTATTGAGCTAACGCGTAATGACCGATTGATGCTAAATTATTACCGATCGAGAACACGGGAGCATTTGCAATATCACCACCAGCATAAATGTCTGGGACATTTGTTTGTAAAAATACATTTGTATCAATGGAACCATCTTGGTTGACATTTACTCCCGAATCTTTGAGGAATTCTGTGTACAGCGTCGAACCAGTGCCCATTATGCAAATATCACATTTGAGTTGAGTTCCGTCATTTAGCTCAACCGCGGTCAGCACACCGTCAGTGTCAATGCACCGTTTTATTCCCGATTGTAGTTTAAATTCGACGCCTTCGTCTTCAAACATTCGCTTAACTCTCTCGCCAACCTATACATTTCAATCGAAATCGAAGAATTAATTAATAGGCAAATCGTATTAATCTTATCAATAAATAATGCATTTGTAAAAGTGAACAATGAATACCAACCTCTGGACCGAAACTGTGACGCAATGGAATCGTGTCTCGTCCAACGACTGTTACTTTAGCCACTTTTTTGCAAAGATAAGCGGCCGATTCAAGACCAATGAAACTAAGGCCCAAGCAAACGACATGCTTGTCCGGCGATACTTGACTCATAATATACTCTGAATCGATGAATTCTCGAACAACGACTACATTCTTCAAATCGGCTCCGGGAATGTTTGGTTTTCGGGCTTTGCTTCCTGTGGCAATGTACAATTTATCGTATTTGATAATATAGCCATTGCTTAATGTAACGGTTTTCTCATCGCTGTTAACTTTCGTTGCCTCAACTCCGGTCATCGCTTCGATTCCGTACTCTTCGTAAAAGTCAAGTGTTCGGAATTCGATTTTCTTCACTTGTACATCCATCGCTTTGCTCAGTTTGACGCGATCGTATGGCAAAACATTTTCTTTGCAAACCATCACAATGCGACCGTCGAATCCTTCTTGGCGCAAAGTCTCTACGCAAACCCCGCCAGAGGGGCCTCCACCGATGACGATGATAGTCGTGTCATTGTTTGGATTACGTTTCACCATGTCTTTCAATCGTTTGTTTGCTTGCAAATCAGAACGTTTGGCTCGCACACGAACTTTGCCTTGTTCAACGTTCACTTTGTAGCATGGAATCGAATCTAATCCGGGGAAATCTTCAATATCACCGTTTTGAACATTGAAACACGCTCCATGCCATGGGCATCGAATACGGCCTTCTGACAATGCACCCGTCGATAATAATGCACCATAATGCGAACATTTCGTTCCAATGGCTGAAATAACGCCGTTCTGCTTCACGACCAACACTTTCGAATTATCGTCGATTTCGTATTGTTTCATCTCATTTTCACCGATGTCATTCTCCTCGCACACAATCTTCTCAACGTAATCGGCATCTGGCTGCTGCTCCACCGCTCCATTTTTACAGTAAGGTTTTGCATCTGTACAAAAATAAATGAAAAAAAAAGATGTTAGAGCGTTCATTAATTAATATTGGTGATCAATTTCCATTTCAAATGCAATTCGCACTTTATTGTATATGTGCGCATTTAATCTTATTTGTGGCTTAGTAGTAAATTATGACCTTAGTTTATTATATACACACATTCATCTCGCTGAACAACATGCACCTAATACGTCAAGGACACTCGACGTGAGATCAAAACAACATTGTACATAGTTCGTTGAATTACAGACGATCGTGTGAGGTCAACTATTTCGAATTCGGTTTGTTTGCTTGAAATGTCAAAATCTGGGTGTTCTTTGTGCACTACATATACATTCGTTGTCGAAATGGAACCCGCTAAGTTTAAATTCCTGCCAAATTCTCGAGTTTTAATGGGATTTGTGGTATGACTTGAGCATTTCATGTGACACATTTGTGTCAACCAATCTACATTAAAAATGGAAAATCCGTGCGCACGGCAATTTAATTATCGCTGGCATTGTACCACCAAAAAGCGATTCCATGCTTTCGACTGTATCAGCTTAAAACTTCTATTTGCTATGTACAATGAAAATAGGATTCCAATGTCCGTGCATTTCAATATAGAAAAAATAATTTGCATGTTTTGACTCGCTTTGGCGGCGGGACGAATCGGATGGAAAACAAAAATTAAAAAAAAAAACAAACCAAATGGAAATAAATATAAAAGACAACACCGTATAAAATTACATGGTTTATAATATTTTTGGAATCCGAGCTAATTCAAAATAGGAATATTGAAAACATGCAATCAGCCAGCACCGTTTTAGTTGTGCAAATCTAAATGTTAAATTTAAATCATCTGAGTTTTCTGACGTCTTTTCTGCATTCAAAATGTAATTTATTAGTCATTCGTTCAACTTGAACTTTGTGCTAGACTTTGTGTCCATTATGAATGTACAAAGAGATACGTCAATGACGGCCGAGGGTTCTTTTATTCTTTACTTCGAACGGTAGTCTTAATGTCTGGTCATTTTGATTGGAACAATAATAAGTGCTAAATGTTGTCGAATGAAATGCTTGAATCCGTTTGAGTAATGAGTATCAATGTCACTCAATGGACTGGACGGTCAATACAATGTGCGTGTGACCAGAGCGTATATATCAATCATTCGTGATAAAGTACACGATTTCGGTTGTTCGATAACAACACCAACGGTTCGTTGACATTGGCTAAGGTAGTGCTAATAAAATTGGAAAACTGAGACCATAATTCGATCCATGTGTTATTTTCTTTTTTCGTTACGACATTCAAATAGGTACCACACCACTCTATGGTATGAAGTCACACGAAATGAAACAAAAAATCAATAACAATTTAATTAACGCGTTATTTTACGAAAAACGATTTAAACAGAATGAAAGAAGAAGCAAAACATGACAATCTTGATCAACAATGGCAAAACCCATGAATAAAAAAGAACTGCGGATAATGAAAAAAAACAATAGGTTTCGACTCAAATTGGCGTAATTGATGTGGCGGTTGTCACTTAATATCATTCAAAACAAACAAACCGAAAACAATGGATTTCACTTGCTGCTTCGTTTGGATGGCGTTTTTTGTTCTTCGTGTGTTTTTTGATTTGTGTTTCTGTGTACTGAGGCATGAAAAATGTCATGCAAATCATTAAAAAAGCTTAACGTAATTCTGCCCATTAAAACCAGTACCAAGAGAGAAACAAAAAAAAAACCAAGCAAAAAAACAACCACACGAGTCCATGATGTTACTTACTCAAAAAACTTAACATTTTTTTTCTTATTCGTTTTGTCCACACAATTCTTTTTCAGTATGACTGTTTGTTTGGATTTTGATTTCTCCTTGCGTTTTTATGTCACAAGCTAAATGGAACTGTTAAATTCGAGCAAATGGAATAGTGATTAACAAAAAACCCACACGGAACTGACAACTTTATTCATAAATCATCGCCATATAAATAATTAATCGTCCGTAGGAAAAGAAAGTCACTCACACACTATTTTTTCTTTGAAGAGAAAAAAAACTATTTTTCGTATGTAAACGAACGGAGAAATGTGGTTTGGAGATAAATGAAAGAATACAAAAAAAAAACTGCGGTTTATTTACCCTCTTCATCCTGTACGGTTTTTGTCGATGAGAATGCCTTGCAATTGACTGAGCCCATATTGAATTTGAAAAATCCAATTATTGTCGGTTGTGGAAGCGGTTTGTTGCTATATGCGTGAAGTGGATCCGAAATGTGTGAATTAATTGTACTGTGTGGTAAGGAAAGGGTTTTCTATTTGTATTCCTACCGATAAAACAGTGGAGTGCTGCTGGATACACTGGATCGGAATCGATAAGGCTTAACACTTTGATTCAAATACAAACTAAATCCAGTTAATATATCGATTTGCCTGTGGGATACGCAGTAATGAATTGGTCGTTTTATACTTGACAGCCTGCGTATTCAAATAAAATCAATGGAATGAAATCTTTCGGAAATTGTTGTGGGAGAACAGCAGAGTTGCGGTTGATTCGTTGAAATTCACAGGAAGTACTGCATTATTTTTTTATCTTTACAACATTTTTATCAGAACGATATCGTATTTGTTCTTTATTTTTAGAATAGATAAATGATACAACGCACTGTTCCCTCAATAATTGTTTGAAATATTTTTTTTTTGTGTGATTGACAGGCACAATTGTAAAACGATTATGATGTTCGAGATCCAAGAAGCACACTCTAACAACCGATTCAATGAAAAATGAAAGTCTGACTAATGATCAAAGCGAACACTTAAAGTAATCAACGTGAACAAAATCGTACCGTTGCCACCGATGTCGTATATATACAACAAATACACGCGAACGGATTGTGTCGAGCTATGCCGCTCTTATTTGAAATATCGCTCATATTCCAACAACAGAAAATAAAACGGAGGAGACAAAACATAGCAGCGAAAGAATACCTCGAGCTGAATGAATACGCAAAGTTATGTAAGGAACGGCGTATGTGTAATGTGTATATAAAACAACTTGTAGCATTGCTCTGGATTTTCCCACTACAGAAATTGACGCCGTTTACTCGCGTGTATACGATGGAATTCACAGAAAAAAAAATGAGAGGAAACCCCCCATTCAATATCTCTCGTAATGACGAAGCAGCGTAAAGCAAAGCATGACTATCAAAATTATATTCTCGATTTCTACTGAAACAAAATTGCATTGATCTCTTGGTGAATGGTTTACTGCGAATTCCATGATGTGTGAACGACAATATTATATTGGTGAACGATTTATGTATTTTGATAAATATTTGCGTGACTCATTTATTCCATCTCAACGTCTCTCCTCAGATGGTGGTTTTGCAAACAGGTTATACTGGCTTCCACTTTGTGACGCAATTCATATTTTATGGCGACCCTGATACTACACAGAACAAATCAGTATATTGAAAAGTCCATTACAATGGATTTACTTAATCGATTCTTAATCTTCTTTCATGAAAAGTCTGTTTGGACTCAGTCAAATAGTTTTCGTTCTTTCCATATGATTCGAACGTTATGCCGTATCTAATCAGGACAAACAGTATCGTCACGTAGCCGATAATTTATTGATTTCGATCTCATTTCAGGAATAAAACTCATACAAATATTTATGACAAGGCGACAATAGTATGCGAGTGACTTTTTTTCCGTTCGACCATTAACAACTCGATCAAAAAATCTATATTTACATTTTAATTCAATTGTCAATTAAAAACTCCGGTTATCACTTTGATTTCACCACCAATTTATTAATGATAACAGACAAGCACTTGATTTCACTCTACATTTTAGGTTGACTACACTTTTGTGGCGGAAGGTCAGTTTGAACACCGCTGCTTTTCATGCAAATTTGGATAAAACCGAAGTTAAAACATCGATCTCTGAAACTCAAACTATTGTATTTAATTAGGCAGACAAATGTCATAGCAAACTGTCAAACTGGCGAACATACCCTACGAAAAAATAGCGGAACATTTTCAATTCTCATTGATATTTTTTTTCATTTAAAATAGAATTGAAAAATGTTATCCACAAATTTTGAAGTTTGAAGACATTTTTGAAACAAAATTATCAATTTCATATTGAATCCCATTGAAAATAACAAAATAATTGATTTGATCGAAGTCAATGTACTACTACAACGATTAGTGTGTGAATAGGCTTTAAAAAGCCTATGCTTTCTATATGAAACAGATGTTGGTAAATCAAAACAACATTTCTAAACAATAACACGGAAACCTGCCTCAAAAGCTGTTTGTTATCTATGGCATTGGCGCAAAAGAGACAGACAGTTGATACTTTCAGCTAGCGCTATGACTTTTTTCTATTTTTGTTGACAAATAAAACAATTTTGCCAGCAGAGAAGGAAGTATGAACTATTTATTCACTCGATTTTTTTCATTATTTTGATTGATTTTTTGCTCTTATCTCCCAAAATCTGCTTTACAAATCGTTTGGGTCAAATTTTCCTCTGGAAATTCGACATTGACTTTAGGAAAAACATCAGTTGAGGTGAGTGTAGAAAGTGGAAATTTCCGTGCAAAATTCATTGCGACATTATCACAAACATTGGCATTTAAATGTCATCGTAAAATATTTCTCTCGTAATATTTATGTGTGCTGTAATCAATTCAATTTATCACGTGAATGGTGGTGGTAATGTTTCACATTCAGTTTTGTTTGAATTTTCTTTATTTACGCAGAGAGTATGAAAATGATTCAGGCGTGAACAATCGTGGAAAAATCGATCAAAGTAGTTGATGCTGCATTGATGTAAAAACAAGTGCAAAATAATTGAAAGGGTCAGAATTAATTCAAATTGATTTCAAAAGCATTTATTGTTTAGTTTGCCCTTCATATACCTGAAACGCAAAAAGGGAAACACGAAAAAAATACTATTAGGCATATTGCTATCTCTTTCTCACACATATGCGAACCTAATTACAAGAGCAATAGAGAGAAAGAGAGAAGGAGATATTGAAAAAATGTCAAATAGTGAAAGTCTTCCCCGCATTGTTCTTCACCGTTCACTTTTTGTGCTTCGTTTTTATTAACAATTCGTTACAACGATAACGATTTTTTTTATATGGTTTTTGTTCCGTCCTAATTTTGTGATTTTTTCTGTTTGCAGCAAAATCTCAAGTAATCCAACATACAAATATGGAAGAAGGATCAGTCGTCCCAATGGATTATTGGCCATTTCAAGATGTAACGTTTGGAAATGCGATTCCAAACAAAAAAAGAAGAAAGATGGAAAGTGATTCGGATTGTGAGGATGAAAATCCAAATGAAGTGATAAAAATTATCCATTTGAATGATGATTGCCTCGAGCCGATTTTCCTCAAGCTGACCAAAGAGGATTTGGCCAATATCGCTGAGTCAAACCTAAGATTCCTGAAAATGGCATGCTATGCGTTCGCTAGAAACTACGCTCAAAATCCGTTTGAGAGTGGATACGATGAGTGTGATTCGAGCACATTTGAGTGTTCAATGAATATTATCAAGCATTTCGGGAAACTGATTCAAAAGCTTGATTTGTATGACGCCCATAATGATTGCCAATACAATAAGTCCATCACCGATGCGATTTTCGAAACTTGCGATTCAAACATCACGGACATCGTTTTCGATCGCGTTGATCAAGATACATTGAACAAAATCCGTCGACCATTTCCCAATCTAACCAATCTCAACATCTACGATTTGTCGTTGCCGCAAAAAATTGCTCAACTCAATCGATGGTTCCCAAATGTTACCAAGTTGATTTTGCGCTGCTCGGGCCTTTTTTCGGAGGAATTTTGTGCATTACGTCACCTCACCGACGCTGATATTGCAATGAATGTTGAGCATATGCAGCTTTTCATTCGTTCAAATCCCCAATTGACCAGTTTGCGTATGCGTGTGGATAATTCTCAACTGATTGATGGACAATTATTGAATTTTATGGCACACCACCTCCCTGATCTGGAACAATTGACGATTACGATTAATAACTGGAAACCCGTTGCCTATTTGTCTGATGCAAACTTCAGAAGTCTACGAATGCTATCACTATCTCACTGTTGGGATATGCTCAACGATCCAAATGATAATCCAACCACCATTGGCATTTCGTCGCCCGTTCTTGAGTCAACCAAAATTAAGGGATTATATTTAAACGATGCTTGCGTCGAGTTCGCATCTCGTTGTCGCAACGTTACTGACTTGGAGTTCACGGTGGACGATGATATGGATACATTCCTCTTCATTCGCCTGGCCCAACGGTGTCCAAAACTGAATAAATTGCAAATGATTTTCCTTCACAATGGAGAAAATTACGGAATTGACCCAGACGGTCTCATTCATTTGCTTGGTCGCTGTCGCGAACTTACCACCATCACTCTCATCTGTGTGCTTCGATTCATCGAGAGCTACAGTGAATTCTGTCGAGCATTCGCCGTCGCCAAAACAAACCATATGATCGATCCGGCATGGAATCTAAAGCAAATCGTTGGCCCATTCAAAACCATTGATATCGAAATTTCAAAGTGAAAGACCAATTCAAGGTGAGTCGAGGCTAAAATGGTTCCGGTATTTGTATAAATTTTGTTACCATAACTGAATTATTCAAAGATGTAAATGATGAAGTTTTAAACTGTTTAATATCACATTCAGTGTGCTACACTGTCCATAGTTGTAATATTTTCAATTTTCAAGACAAAAAAAATGGCAAATAGTAATTAAGAAAAAAGGAAAAAAGTACAAAAAAATATCATTAAAACTGAAAGAAAATAACAAACAAAATGCTTTTAGTTATACATCCCCTGATTTTTCTCTCTCTATAAATCTGCCAAGCCCGCAAATTCTGAACAGTTTTACAATTTTAACTCTGTGTCGAGAAAGAAGGTGCTGTTTGAAAAAAATCATAATCTATTTTGATAAAAATCTTGAAACATTTTATGAATTTCGGAAATTGATCGATGGTGTTTTTCAAAGAAGCAATTTCCAATTAAAAAATCTTCTTTCCTAAATAAACCTCGTACATTTTTCAATACTGGAACTGGTTTGCTGTGACATCTGTATTTATAAAAAAAAATTGTACAAGAAACAAGAAATTGGTAATGTTTTCTTGTTTATTCCGTAAGCCTTCAATTGTAAATCACAGATATCGAACGATTGATCTTATGCTTGAAATATTTGGGGTAAGTAATCTTTCAGGTAGCTGATGTGAATAGTTTCGGCGAGAGTGGTATCACGATTACGGAGTTTCATGAATCCAGTTTTTAAACTGTCTTCATCCAGAATAATTCCGTATGGAACACCAATCGCATCCATTTCATTGCATTTCTGCTCAAGAGCCGATTTATCGGAGAGTTGACAGCCATCTGAGTTCAGAATGGAAATGTGTGACTGCTCAAGTAACAAGGAAACATACTTCGATAAATCCTTCAGTTCGTTTGAAATTGATGGATCTGAAAATGTAAATTGAAGGAAAAAATCATGATTTTTAATTCTTTTCTGGCGAAAATATCACTTTTATCCTGAAGCTTATACACATATATGAAGATATTAATTCAAACTATGACTAACCGGTTGATATGCTGTACACAGTGCATTGATACGGAGCAATTTTCCGATGAAGACACATTTCACCAAAGTCACCAGCGTCAATACTATCCAGAACAGTTTCTAAAATGAAAAAAATCGACTAATTTAAATATTTCAAAAACAACAACAAAACGCTGAATCTATTACCAATAACAGCTACTTCAGAAACTGTGGTAGTTTTTATAACTTTGGTGGGAGCAGAAGTTTTAGTCTTTGGCTCTGTGGATGATTCTGACAAATCTAGGGGTTTTACTTCGATACTCTCAATATCAATCGTACCGAATGGGTAAGTTGCTTTGATCGAAACTGATTTAGTGTCTTTTTCATCATCCTGTTTGACTTCTGAGATTACAAAACGTCCGGGGTTGGCTGCATACTGTCAAGGGATAAGTGAAAAGACATTTTTCAATTTTTCAACATTTAATTCCTCCAGAGGAAATTTTCAGCCTATCAAAAACCTAATAAATTACCTTCATCCACCAAATCTTCCGCAAACGTTGGATCCGATAGAAGTACTCTTGGCTTTGTTTGTCATTGACTAAATACCAGCAGGTCAACAGCTTTGGACTATTTTCCAGCTGAATACCAATTGTCTTATCTTCAGTACTGCCACCTCCAACGATCATCGGTTTGTCATGATTCTCAATTTCAATCAAGCCAAACGGAATGGACCTTGCGAGTCGATCTCTTTTACGAACCACTGAATGCTTCTCCAACAGTGATAAATTCTCTCCGTACTCCGAAAACTCGTCGTTGTTATACGTTTTCAAGCTATTCTCAATCTCCTCACTCTTGAACAACCATTGCCGTTCGATGTTTGCTTGCAAATTCGGCGAATGATCCAAAAACTTTACATCCCTAATCAAATTATTCTCTACAGTTGCGGCAAAGTACTTATTCTTTCTACAGATTCCCAAAAATTCGCTAAGCAATTTTGGTTTGGAAAACACCTTGGTTGCCATTTTTTGCATTCTATTGTGAAGTGGTTTTGAACTCTTGTTCTTCTAATTCCACTGCAATATTTCCTGGTGGCGCAACGAAGCAAACGTCGTCGTTGACGGGCGCGTTTTTCAATAGGTCTTCACGAATATTGCCTTCGGTTACAACGTCGTCACGCAATTCAATGTACTGATCTTCATGCACAGAGTACATCGGCTCCAAGCCAGTGGTGTCAATGTGCAATATTTTACTCGCAAATTCGATCGAGTCTTGCAGATTTCGCAATGCTTCTCTGCAAATATGGAAGTATGATTTTATTAAATAGTTCAAATGAATTATAAACAGCGTTTTATATGAATAAATTACTCACTCGTCACTCAAGTTGACCAGAGACAATCGCATCAGCAGTTCAATGGTGTCTTTGTCGATTTTCAATTTCTCTGGTTTGATTGCATCCGCGGAGATGACTGGTTTCAATGGCACTTTTGTCGGATGTTTGATATCGTTGAAATCGAGAGCTGGCTTCTTTGAAAGGGTACTACAAGTACGTGTGGCTTTGTGCATTGATCTTATTGATATATTATTGAGTATACTCCGGGTCGACAACGAAATAAACATGATTCGGTCAAGAAATATTTGCAATGGTTGAGGTTATGTTTTCTGTTTATTTCTACTGTTTTGGCAAATAATGTATTTCACAGGCGATAGCAAGGCTTCTTTTTATAATTCATTCTTGGGAAACCAAATTTTAAATACAATGATGAATCAGTTCCGTTTTACTTATACAAAAATCTTTTTTTTCATACACGATTTCTATTCATAGCACAAAACAGTTCACACTCCTTAACCATAAGAATTTCAAATGTCAAACCGAAGGAACTGTCAAAATTGCTGAAGTTTCGCTTGGATTCAAAACACATGTGTTTACATTGTTTGGATTTAGATACCAGCCCATAGATACAAAAGATTTAGCAACAATGAGCAGCTCATCATCTGATTCCGAAGATGAAAATCTGGATTTATTGCGGGAGGCAGTCGACACAAGCTTCATCAGCGATGGCATGTTTGCAAAGGGTATGTTGTGTGAATTTGCTCTCCCCTTTTGAAAATGAGTTTACATTCTATCCATTTCAGGTAAATCATCGACAGAAGATTTAAAAGACATCACATCACCACCAAAATGCGAGCTAATTAAACCAAATAAAACCTCCGTCACAACACTGAAATCACAAAGGTACATCGAACACGACGAGAGCGAATCCGATTTAAATGTGCCGAAATCCATGCAAGATTTTGTTTACAAGAAAATGTCAAAGAAAATTAACGATTCCATTGAATTCGTTGAGGTATCTACAAAGAAGAGTAAAAAGAGAAAGTCTGCCCAAGATGAAATTGGCTGTGTTCGTTTGCTGAGTGATACCGATCCGATTACAGCAATTGACTTTCAACCCGAAATAAATGACAAGCCAGTTGAGGGTAAGAAGCTTGAAGTAAAGCGGCGAATAGTTGAGCCTGATGTGTACAACGATGAAGAGAAAGTGAAAATGGTCTCTATCGATGGCGAGAGTATATTACAGCAGACGGAAACGAAAAGCTGGAAACCAAAAAAAGTCAAGCCAAATAAATTGTTCAAATATCGCGAGAAAAATGCCGTATTGTATGCTATCGAACCAAAAAATGAATTTACCGCTCTTCGCAAGAAGAATAACTGGTGTGAGAGCAAAATTGCGAAATTTCCATGGAAAAATCATGCAAAAAAATTGTAATTATTTTCAATGTGGCTTTATTCAGAAATGAAAAAAATAAATCTATTTTATAAGTCAAGTGATGAAATCAATCTTATTTGTCTAACACTAAATTATGCTAATAGATTTTCGGTTTTAATACGGCTTCATCGAGTAGTTTGCCGAAAGTTTCACGAATTTCGTCCATCATTTTATCCACTGAGAGTGCTTTTCTCGATTGAACTCGTATTTTCGAGCATGGACTCAGCGATAAGGATGGCAGTGATATGGATCGTCCCAATGATGATTGAGCATCAGCAAGTCGGCCCAGTTGCATTAAAATCAAAACGCATTCTTCGATTAATGGTGGAAATGCTTGAGCGAATCGTGCCAACGACGGCAAAATGGATCGGAACATTTCGATGCGTGTGTCAGATGACAGCAATCCGAGCAGCGTTGACAAGGAGTTTATGCAGAGTTTGGCCAAACTCAGAGATTTTGGAAAGGCGTATTGAAGCGATAGGTGCGACGTTAAATCGATGGCAAATATTTGTTTGCTCATCTCTTGCATTCCAAGCAGTTCGGGTATAAAATCCATACAAATGTGCATCGATGGTATCCCACGAACAGTCATCTCGAGCAAATCGTGTGAGTACCCTTGGAAATGCACCAATCGTGCCATTGATGGCTCCGAAATGAATACATGATGAATGTACTGGCATATCAAACCGCGAATTTCACGCAATTCCGACTCTCTGCCAACGATTAAACGGTCTTCATCCGTTTCCAAGCAGACTTCAAGCAATATTTGAACAGCTGCACTCTCTTGTGATGCCACCAAAGCCGTTCGTAGCTCCTCACGTTCTGCTTCCGATTGAATTTGGCCTGGTCGATCTTGTTGCAGAGGTTTATCCAGAATGTGTCGGGCCAATTGGCTTTTCGATGCAGCCAAACTGGCTTGTAGTATCCGCAGAACGATAGCCAGCGCGTCTGGACATCGGAACACTCGTTCATCACATCTCAATACTAACATTGGATCAAAGGTCATTTCTTTCGGTGGTATAAGGTTGGCTTTGATCAAAATGTCTTCAGGCATCAACGCGCTGACTGTCATGCTCCACAGTCGACGCGGTAGAACTGTGTTCAGGCGAATCCAAACCTGTTTGTAGAGATCCTGAATGAGGCGTGGCACGGTATCTTTCAATGTGCGCCGGAAGTATTGAATGAACGTTTCGGCCAGTGGCCAAATATCCGACGGTGATTTCTTCAGCATTAACCGGAGCAATTTAATGACTTTCGATGGACATGTGTCAATCTCTTCAAACGCTTCCAAAACATGAAACGATTGAATGTGCACCTTTGAATAGTGTGATTTTTGCTGCGTTTCGTCTTCAATCCAGTCTTCAACCAATGACAAATGCGGGAAATGTGTTACCAACAATCGCAACAATGGGCTGAACAAGCCGCTGAAATCGTTGTGATTGCGTTGGGCCTGCTGTAGCAAATATTTGATCGGAAGTTCATTCAAAAACTCTGTAGGATAGCTTTTGATCTTGCGTCCAGTGGCCAACAATGACGCCATGTTACTCAGTCGAACATCCTCATACAAAAGCAAATAGTACAAAATCAAAAGCTGTGACGTTGTATTTGATGTGCATTTGAAATTGTTGTCCGTGGGAACATTTTCCGTGGATTGTGATGATTTGCCATCGGAATCATCGCCTTTCTTTGCCGCACCACTTTCCATCTTCATCAATGCCGGCAATTTGGCGTCGAACTCATCAATTTTTCTCACCTTACTCAAACCACTTCCAATCACCGAATCGCGGAACACACGAATAATATCCTCTTGGGTTAACGGCTGGTGAGTGTGCTCAATGGGTCCCCTTGCAGTCGGAACGATGATTGAATTTACGTACACTTCAATTAACGATGGTAAAACTGGATGCAATGGCGTCGAACTATTGCATATCTGGTGGTAAATCCAAGATTTGATTGGAACTTTGTGCTTGGTGAACGCACGTGACTTCAACAGTTGATGTATACAATGAACCGGCAGATAACCGAGCATATTTGCATTCAAATTGGGTGTCACAGGAACTTTGACGGCATGTTCAGTCACAACTTGTTCCGTGAATATTTCTTGTGTGAAAATTTGCTTCATTCGCGTTGTGTTGTTTTGACGAAGTGGAATTTTCATGCCCAACGTCGAACAGACCAGTTCACAAATGGCAGACACTTGATTACTGTGGAAATGAATTGCCATCAGAAGCAACATTTCACCAAATGATGCACTCACACCACTGTTTGACTTGAGATACGTTTTTTCTTTGATCAACCATTGCACCCATTCGATTCCTTTTGATTCTTGTACGGGCTGCATTATCAGCGATGGGCATGCAATCAACATGCATAGACCAATCGATACAAATCGAATGCCAGATGCCGTCGGCGTAGGCTTTTTTGTCGTAATCAATTGCAGAATTTTTGACACTTCATCGTCGTTGAACCTGTGTTCAGTGGAGAAATCAGATGGAAATTTCAAAAAATATTCGAAGTTTTTTTCGATGAAATTCTAAGTATACGTCTAGATAACTCACTTTATTCCAGCAATTCCGCGCAATGCACAGTACAACCGTAGAATGGCAGCACCTTGGATCACATACTCGTCGGGAAGATGGGAATTTTGAGATGATCTCAAGATATTCTGCAGCTGTTTCAACAGTTCGTCACGTATTGCTTGCAACGCATCGTTTTTCCTCTTTTGACTTGTTCGAACGTACAATGAGAACCAGGATCGGGTATTTTGATCATTTCCCAGTAGCAAGCTTGAGACGAAGGCAATCTAAATTATAATAATTGGAGTTCGGGTTAGTTTCATATAATTTTCAATCAACTAGATGACTTAGATGAAATATTTTTACCAAGTCATTTGGATCCTTCAAGCTGAGCTTCAGCATAAGTGATGGCATTTTGCCCATTTCAACGCATAGAGTTCGAGTGGAAATGGCTTGACCGGGATTCATATCGCATAATGCATATAACGCATTCGATCGAAGTCTTCCTTCTGCCGTTTCCTCGTCGCCATTCGATATCAGTGCTGTTACAACTATAATCCCAAACAAAAGGTAAATGCTTTATTTGGTTGATATCATCGAATGAATAAAATGAAAGAAAACGTCAACGGAGATATGACGGGTTCGCTTTGTCACACCGATAACAAAAACTAACCTTCTTTAAAGCAATCGGGCATGTTTGCAACGATCCAGCAAATAATGGTGCTGCCATTATTAACATACAGCAATGTTTCGATCACTTCTTGTATATTGAAAAGTGATGGCAGTTCAGCGAGTGCGATGCAAATGATGTGAGTAATTTCCTCCAAATAGATGTCATTGTCAAATAATTCAGACTGCTTCTGAATGTTGTCGTTTGGTCCACGAATCGTGTTCAACTGGTTTTGCTCAAAAATTTGTGATTGAATGTAGAACAATTCCGATAGAACGATGCGTACTTTTTGTGTAATTTCTGCACGCTCAAAGCCCAGAGCAACGCCATTCTGAAGGCCATGCAATTGTGCTGAATCTTGGCTCGAATTTCCAATCTTTTGTCTGGCATAGAAATGAATTTCCGATTTAGAAACATTTTCATTCAGTGACGAAAGTTTAGAAGAAGAGAAAAACAATTTACCTCAATTGTTGCTCTTTGCGGATGTCTGTTTCCAGTTCATGGAAGTCAATTTGCAGCAAAGCCACAATATTATTCACCTCAACGACGCCCACAAGAAGCGATAAAATTTGTGCTTTTGAATCGATGGTTACTTTTGTGTTATCTAGTTGTTTCAACGTTGCCATACGCACCAAACACGGTAGCAACGATCGCAATTCTTTCTCATCACATTTTGTTAGTTCAGCGATGGTCAAGTTTTGCATTGCCATGAATGCACGTGAACTAACCGGTATCATAATTTCTGGTATTGTTTCTTTTCCTGTTGCGCGCGCTCACTCTTCAAAATAAAACGCGTTCCAATGTAATAACAAACTTGTCTAACTGACACAGAAAAGAAAAACAAAACAACTTTCGCAATGAAACAATTTGCAATATTGAAAACAAATTATGTGATGACCAATACGAAATCCATTGCGACGTGTGTACTTCACTCGCGTTCACTTCGACATATTTGTTACAAATGAATTTTGTTGTTGTCATACTACTAGTTCAGCGCTTTGACTTTTTGTATGTGATGATTGCAGCGCTACTGCGACTCGCACTGTATGTATATGTACAAATACATACAATCGTACAAAGTGTGTGACGGGTGCGAGCCTATTGTTGTGTGTGTGCGTACAATTCTGAGCTGACAGTTTCTAATTTTGACATTTTGCAAAGCGGCTTCTTTATTACTGGCAAAAAAAAAATGTATAACGAAATCACTAATGGCTGTCAAATGTGAAACAAGCTTTCGTTTTTGTTGTTTTCTTTTTCGTTTGCACAACAAATTAATCAACACACATTCACTCGAATTCACATTTTAAGTAAAATATTGAAACGAACCAAGACAGTACCATCAATCAACAGAAAGTATTCAGGTTTACTCGTTGTAAATATTGAAATTGTTTTTGCTTCAAATTGAACAAAATAAAATAAAATCAAATACAAAGTACTTTTTCACAACAAAATAATACCCCAAAAACGGAACGATAAATTAATTTGTGAGTAATATTTTTCACTCTTTCTCTATCTCGTCGTGTTAATTAGATAATTTTAACCATTGCTAACAGCACACATACACACACACACAGAAAACGGTAGAGTCAGCGAAATTTGTGTTGTGGGTTAAGGTCATTGTTAACTTGGATTTTACGTTTGTGACTTTATTTTTTCTGTTGTTATTTGGTGTAGGCAACCGATTTCGGTGTTTGGTTGAAAGATGCTAAAGGGAAAAGACACAGTTTCGTTTGAGGATCATTGGCCATCATTGCGACCGACCGTATTGAAGCTGCTAAAACAGGAATCGGTGTCAAAGGCAGAATGGCAAGATTTATTCTATGGAGTACATTTGATCTGCCTTTGGGTTGACAAAGGTGGTTCGAAGATATACGATAGTCTACAAGAGGACATATCAGCGTATATAAAACAGGCACAGGTCAATATAATGGCACAGCGTGAGGAGCAAGCACTGATAAATGCATACATTATTGAATGGCGAAAGTTTTTTACGCAAAGTAACTATTTGCCGTCGCCATTTCGTCAGTTGGAGCTGAGTAAACAACAGATATCGTCAAATAATAATCAAGGTCCAAGTAATAGCTCAAATTCAACAGTTACATCGGGTGTGGCCGCATCATCATCATCGGCAAACAGTACGAATAGCACGAGTGGAGGTGGCGGTGGTAGTGGCAGTAGTTCATCGCAAAAGAATTCGTCACACGGTGAAACGCTGGTGCGTGAACTAATGCTAAATCTCTGGAATGATGGCATTTTCAAAGACATCACCTATCGCTTACAAGAATCCGCAATGAAACTAGTTCAAGCGGAACGAATCGGTGATGCATTCGATTCACAACTTGTGATTGGTGTACGTGATAGTTACGTTAATTTATGCTCAAACCAAGAAGACCGACTGATGATTTATCGAGAGAATTTTGAATCAGCTTATATTAAAACAACCGCAGACTTTTATCGTTTGAAAGCCCATGAACAGTTGCAGGCGCATGGGGTGCAAGCGTTCATGCGTTATGCAGATACAAAATTGCGCGAAGAAGAAGCCAGAGCGCAGCGATACTTGGAGCCAAGCAGTTTTGATGGATTGAAATCAGCATGTGTATCGGTATTGGTAAAAGATCCACTGCCAACACTCTTAGCCGAATGTACACCGCTGATCAAATCGGGCGACACCGAACGGCTACAACTTATGTTTCGTCTGTTGGACCGCGTTACTGATGGCGTCGAACCGATGCTCAATGATTTAGGTAAGTTTTGTCATTGAATGGAAAAGAATTGGCCAGACACGTAGAAAAGAGACGAATTAAAATATTTTAATCCATTTCCAGAGAATCACATCGTTTCTGATGGGTTACAAGATATGGTGTCGGCCGCTGACATCATCACAAATGATTCGGAAAAGTATGTGGAACGTTTGCTTGAGTTGTTCCGTCGTTATAGTGACTTAGTAAAAGATGCATTTAATAATGATCCACGGTTTTTGACTGCCCGAGACAAGGCATTCAAGACGGTGGTCAATGATACCACTGTGTTTAAGCTCGAATTACCGTCATCCGTTGTGGCGCGGTCGAATAAATCCACCACACCCGAAAGCAAGTGCCCCGAATTGCTGGCAAACTATTGCGATATGCTGCTGCGAAAGACGGCGCTCAGCAAACGATTGACCAATGAACAAATTGAAAGCAGACTTAAGGACGTGTTACTTGTGTTAAAATACGTGAACAACAAAGACGTGTTCATGCTGTATCACAAAGCGCATTTAACTCGACGGTGAGCCACTTTAGTTGACTTGATATATTTAAATTACGTCTTCGTTATCTCTAGTTTTTTGTTTCGGTTTCCTAGAAACAATCTTTTGTGTTCCAAGGTGCTATTTTTACAATTTGTTTTTCCTGTTGAATTTTAAATTTCAGTTTGATTCTGGATTCAAGTGCCGATAGTGAAAAGGAGGAGAATATGGTCGAATGGTTGCGTGAGGTGGGCATGCCGGCTGATTATGTAAATAAATTAGCGCGAATGTTTCAAGATATCAAGGTTAGCGTTGATCTCAATGCTCGATTCCATGCGTCGACGGCTCGTCACGATGCGATCAACATAAAAATCCTGAATGCCGGCGCCTGGGCACAATGCACCGAACGGGTTTCGGTTAGTTTGCCGCTCGAGCTCGAAGACTACATTCCCGAGGTGGAAGATTTTTACAAACGGCAACATGCCGGCCGTAAATTGCAGTGGTATCATCACATGAGCAACGGGACCATTACGTTCACCAATGAAATGGGTCGCTTCGATTTGGATGTCACAACATTTCAAATGGCCGTATTATTTGCATGGAATCAGCGACCGGATGAAAAAATCTCATATGAAAATCTACGCTTAGCTACCGAATTACCCGATCCCGAATTGCGGCGCACCCTTTGGTCACTAGCCGCATTCCCCAAACTTAAGAAGCAAGTCATTTTGATGGAGCCCGTTGCACAGCAACCGAAAGACTTCGCAGAAAATACTCAATTTCGTATTAACGAAGAATTTGTCATTGTGAAGAATGGCAAAATTCAGCGTCGCGGCAAAATTAACTTAATCGGTCGTCTACAGTTGAGCACTGAACGATCACAGCAAGAAGATAACCAGTCCATCGTTCAGTTGCGTATCCTGCGAACACAGGAGGCAATCATTCGCATCATGAAAATGCGCAAAAAATTAAACAACTCAACACTTCAAGTGGAGCTTATCGATATTTTAAAAAACATGTTTTTGCCATCAAAGAAAATGATTAAAGAACAGTTGGAATGGTTGATCGAACACAAGTATATGCGTCGCGATGATGACGATATCAACACATTCATTTACGTAGCTTGAAATTGTAAATTTCTGTTGCATCCATTTTTTTTTTCTTTTGCTCTTGTTTTCGGAATTTTTTTTCTTCCTTTCCCACTTTCTTTTAATTGAACTAAAAGAAGCTGTTAAATTCATTGTTTTCACTTATTATTTTGCTCTCTTTAAAAAGAAAATTTAATTGGCGCTCGCAATTCCATAGGTTTTATTACTATTTTTTTTTTCTCTTTTTTTAGAAAAAAAAAATTTAATGAAATAAGAGAGATTTGTTCCTGTGAAAGAATATGTTACGATCAAACCATTTTAAAGTGGAATGTTTTTAAGATATTGCACATAACAATTGTATAAAATGACGAATAAATCAGAGGTTCGATACCTAGCTATAAAAAAAAGCGGAATAAAATCCACGGCTCTTGTCAGTTTTTGGGGATGTTGTTTGAATGTGGCCGGGCAAAATGAAACTCAATCTGTTTTTGTATTTTTTCTTAGCTTCTTGTAAAAGTATCACAGCTCTCATTTATGTCGATTTTAAAAAATTGAGATGAATGAAAAAAAAACACATCGGCGGTGGGTATTTTGTTCTTAAAATCAAAAGGCATTACAAACTACACCATGTTAAGCGAGGTGCAATGCTTTTGCATGGTTTATTAATAGTACAGTAAATTGTTTGCGGAAAATTATCATTTTGGATAAATGAAAAGGGAAAAGAAAAACAATATCGATGAAATGTTGTTTGTCGATTATTTAAAGTGCCCCCCTGTGATGAATGTATCTATTTCTTGGCGAAAGTAATCTTCATTGCATGGGTTGGAGTAATTTTGAAGCCTTGCAATGCCTCTTTGGCGGCGCTACTCTGCAACTCGGTGGCGAATTCGACGAACGCAATGTCATGACGATTTGGTACCAAACGCACTTCTTTGAACCCGGGGAATTGATTGAACAACATGGACAACATCATCTCGTTGGTTTCCTCGGGCAGATTGGTCAAGAAGAGAATTTGATTTGGTGGTTGTTCAGCAGTTGGATTAACACTACCATCAGCCGCACCAGCGGCCTTCTTCTTCTTTTCACTGTAAAGATAGAAAAACATTTTGATTGGTATATTTAAAACATTTGAAATAGGTTTTTTTCTTCAATTTCTTAGGTAAACCACCGAATAAATGTTGTGAACAAAAAGCAAACATACCGTTTCTCATCCGTGGATTGAATTGGTTTGGGTTGTTTAACCTTCTTCGGTCGTTCTTTGAATGTTCCCTTTATTTTAGCAATAACATCGCTATCGGTTTTTGAGTATGCGATTCGCATTGGTTTGTCATAGAATGGAAATCCTTGCATTGTACGTAGCGCATTTGTGGCGCTGGAGATCTCCTTGAAAATGACAAATGCTTGGCCACGCATTTTCAACGTTTTCAATGCCACAATATCCATAATTTGGCCAAATTGTGAGAAAATTGCGTACAGAGACTTTTTCAAGTCATCTTTTTTCACCTTTTCATTGAGATTATTGATGTAAATCGTATGACTCGGGCGAATGTCCATTGTTGTTTATGCGGTGTTGTCTAGCAAACAACTGCTGAGTAACCAAAAATTTAAAAATCCAGACATCAAATTTTTATATCAAATCAATTGGAGTGCGATCAAAATGAAATTTTAAAACCAAATCCAACTTACCGTTTCGAATTTAAATGATAAAAACTGGAGAAATAAAAATCACACAGCAATTAGACCAAAGTGCGGCTTTACGTATATGACGCGTTTGCTTGGGAATGAGGTTATGTTTTGACAGTGTATAAAAATATGGCTACATGTAGTATATCGGATTATCGTGTATGTGTGCATTCGGTGTTCAGCGGTTTCATGAACTCATTCAGCACTTTTATTTCAATGTGACAGATCTTGTAATCATCTGCAAATTGACGAAAATTTTAGTTGCCCGAATCGATCGCAGTACCTTGCCAAGTTTTCTTTTGCATGGAAATTTCCATTTCGTCAAAATTGTCAGTGAGTGCAAAATTATTGTTGTTATCAGAAAATTTGTGAAGTTTCATTAATCGGAAAGGAAAATGATGAACTTTGACACCAATTCGAATGGTGAAAAGAAACCATGTCGAACGTGCACGGATTTCAAAACATGGGCAAAACAGCAGAAAAGTGTTTACAGAGCAAAATCAGAAGTGAGTCGAAATTCGAAATTAGAAAAATTGAAATGTAGTTTGGCTATGATATTGTGATTCTATTTGAAGGGTGGCGACAGTTACGACAGTCAAGTGACCCCAAATAAACCGCTGAGTGAAACGGGCCGTTTTAAACACGGTTGCCCGGTGGACAAAGATGTATTGGGCCATTCGACATGGAATTTATTACACACGATGGCCGCTGTTTATCCAGACAAACCAACCGAGACACAAAAACAAGATGTTAAAACATTTTTCGGTATCTTATCACGAACGTATCCATGTGATGTGTGTGCAAAAGACTTAGCCAACGAGTGAGTGACTCAATTATGGAATGAAATTGTGAAATAATCTAATGATTTCGTGTTTTCTTGTCAATTTTCAGATTAAAAGAAGAACCAATTGTAGCAAATTCAAGCGAAGACCTCTCACAGTGGCTCTGCCGTTTACATAACAAAGTCAATGTGAAAATAGGCAAACCCGAGTTCGATTGCAGCAAAGTCAACGAACGATGGCGAGACGGTTGGCTCGATGGATCGTGTGATTAAATGCAATACAAAATTTTTGAGTAAATCGACAGCTTTGTGTTTTTTTTCCTTGTTATTTTATTGTAAATAGTAAATAAATGTCGTGATGCGCGAATTTAATACAAATGAAGTTACAATTATTTACGAATAGATGATATGAACTAACAATTTTTTAATAATGTAAATGAACAGTACATTCAGTTGCCAATTATATCGGACTCATTAGAACGTTTGACGAGCTCGTCCTCGCATATCGATTCCTGTTGGGAACAAATACATTTTATATTTCACTTTTATTTTTCAAATCTGAGTATTTTTGCCTTACCATGCTTTCGAAGAGTATGATTCCTCAAATTAGCTGAACTCGTGGCAGCGTAACTGCAATGCTCGCAAGCATATGGTCGATAACCGGTGTGTGTACGTGTATGAACCTATTGGAGAATAAAATACTTGAATACATTAGTAGGTTTTTAATAGATATACACACATTCTAGTGTTTGAAATAATAACAATGGTAAGTATAAATGGAAGACAAAACCATGAGAGACAACCAACATCGACTCACATTAAGCAATCCTTTGTGTCTGAATCGCTTGTCGCAATATGTGCACGGAAACGGCAACACTTCCAAATGACCAACCATGTGCAATTTAACCGCATTCTGATCATGGTAACGTTTACCACAAACATCACAAATGAATGGCTTATCCTCTTCATGAAGTTTCATGTGTGACTTGAGTCTTGCCAACGTTTGGAGTCTATAAGAAATGGACACATTAGATAAATTCTCTCCTTTTCAGTTTTTCAAATCGATTTCAATATCTCTTCGCCGCTTTCTATATTGAAATCATAATCAATCATTACCCTTTTCCACAGATCTCACATGGGAACGGTCGCACGTCTGCATGTTTTATCATATGCTTACGTAAACTGCATCGCATGTAGAAACTCTTTCCGCATTTATCGCATACATAGTCATTTTGTCTGCTGTGCTTGTTCATATGATCTTTTAGTGCGCCTTTCAATCGATACTTTCTCTTGCAAATATCGCATTCGTACAATTCTGTTGCGTCTCTCGGTGAGCATACGGTCCGAACGTGTTTCCGTAGGCTGCCAATGTTTCGGAAGGTTTTGTTACATTTTTCACATTTAGGCTCGGGTGCACTGGATTTAGACTGTTGCTCATGCTCCTCCCGATGATATTTCAATTGTGTCAAATCCCAATAGTATTTCGAACAAAACGTACAGCTAAAATGAACAGCGAATGATGGTTATTACAATATTCGACTTGTCTTAATATTTTTGAATGATTATTAGTTGCGATTAGTTGAAGAAAAAGAAAACTCACCAGAAGCTGAGATGTGGCATGTGACGATAGCTGATGTGCACCACCAATGACTGCAGTCTTTTGCACACTTGATCGCAATAGAGGCAAGGAAATGATCTCTTCGTGGGAAATCGTGAGTGTGTTGTCTGATCGTGAGTATGAAATTTGTTGAATCCACGAGCACTGTAATCACAATCGTTGCACTTGAATTCGCAGTCGTTCCACGTTCTCGTGATAGTTTCAGCCAAATAGAGATCCATTTTTGCCATTCCTTCGTCGGTGATTGTACCGTCCAAGTTGCATTCACTTTTCGAAACAATTTTCAACACGCTGCACACTTTCGATGCTTTCTTTTTTCGCTTCACTCTTTGTGTCTTGTGTGCTGATCCCCGCCTGGAATATCTTGAATGATCCGATTCTGTTTCACTGGCACTGGTCGATACTTCGTCGGCTTCAAGCTCATCCTCCGGCACATTTAGTTTTACATCAATAAATTCATTATCCGGCTCCAACTCTTTATACTCTAATCCATTTGGCGAAAAATGCATCAAATGAAGTAATTTTTGCTCTGACTCACTGATTCTGTTTGCGAATTTCCAACAATTTTCCAATTGATCCACACAGTCATTGCAAACAGTTTGCGGAATTTGATACTCTTCATTCGATGGCTTCCACATACAACAAGCGACTAACTTCTCTTTGATGCCCCAATCGAATATCGTCTTTTTCAATTCAGTCGTCTTCTTTTGTTCGGCACACAAACGACAATAAGAGAACATTTTTAACACAATTCAATAAATTATGATGATCTAGTTTGTTTATGAATACACTCGTTTGTGTATTAGGCTTGGCATTTTTTCGGACTTTGACAGCCAGGCGAAATTGTTTGATGTAAATGTCAAACGAACTGTCAAATTTCAAAAGACCGTGGAACGAAAGTGGTTATGTTTCGGAAAAAAAATATGTTTCTGAGTTGCTTTTAGTTTTAAGTTTTAAAAAAATAGCGGAATTAGAAAAACAATTGAACGAATTGGCTACAACAAACAAAAACGAATCGTCATTGATATCCAACTACCAATATAGTTCTTGCGAGGTGCACCGAGGTTTGGCGCCAAACCGGCGGACACTTTAGGTTGCTTATTGGCTTCGGCAACATTTATCAAATCCTTCAAATTCAATAATCAAAATATGTGCTCCAGGCAATCCAGATTGATGTCAACAATCTTTTTGGGGGATCCAATATCAAAGTTCTCACTCTCTTCAACTTCTACCTTTGATCGTTTCGAATTTGAACGTTGAATTTTTCTCTTACGAATGTTTGTCGTGTTTTGTTTACGTTTGTTGGCCATGGCTTCAAATTGACGCAAATACACTTTCTTTCACTAATAATGTAACGATCACATCAATTTGCTAGTCAATTTGCTGGTTGCATTGGCAAAATTCAAAAGTGAATTGACAAAGTGACAGTCCAATGCAATGCAAGTCTCGCATCAGACACCACCAACATTCGGGGTAAGCCCGAACATTGAACCGCATTCTGTCACATTGTCAAACCGAGTTTGATTGAACATCATTCAAATGAACAAACGATAATCGCTTGAGTAAACGGATTGTTCCATTTCAATTTGTGATAACATTCTTTTTTCATTCCATTTCAATTTCAATTCAACCAAAATGGAAGGTGCAACTTTAGATTATGATAAAGTTCAGCCGATTGATCCAGAAGAGGCTCGCCTGCTGGAAGAATACGAACAATTGACGACAACACTTCACAAGCAAAAACTCATTCTATCCGTTATGAAAAACCTCAATTGCAATGATATCAAGGGTGTGGATGAAGCTGGTAAGAAAAACATCGACAAAGCATTGGATTTTGTTCGTGCATACGATTACCTGAAAATGGATGGTGGTGGTACCAATGCTCTAGGTAAATATTCACCAAACGAAATTAGTTTTTTCGAACATTTGATCAATTTTCCATTTTGATTTGTCACTCTTCATCATTTTTTCTGTGTTGTTTTCAGGTATCCCCGATAAACCGCATGAGCTGTCATATGTTGAGAAGCGAGCGCTAAAAGTCAAAGTGTTGGAAGAATTGCCAAAAAAGTACGAAAAAGAATTGGAGTTTTGCCGAAAAATGGAGCCAGAGGTGATAAACCCCGAAATATTGGACAATCAGCTATTGGATTTGAGAGCACGCGAAAAGGAGATGCTCACAGAACTTGCCGTTAAGCAAGTAGAACTGTGCGAAACATTGAAAGATTGCGTTGAAATGAGATTCGGACCGGATCAGAAGAGTGAAGTTGAATTGACCAAATCCAAATTTGCCGTTGAACAGCTCAAGGCCCAGTAAGTGTCAATTCAATGAAATCTGCATATTGCTTTGAGTGAATATTCAATATTCTATGCTGGTCTTTATTTCACCACTATTTACACAGGCTCATCGAAACTCTTCTGGAAGAAAACATCGCAACCATGAGCGATCACATGAATCAAGCAACCGACAAAATCGAATTTCATTTGGATAACGCAATCGCTGAACAGAATGCCGACGACACCGCCGAAAAGTCCGATTCCAAGTGAATCACCGCAGTTACACATAGAAATAGCAAAGTTTTAGGTTATAGGTTAGCCAATAATTTGAAAAAAAAAAAGTTTTGAAGAAAATCATATTCCACTGTGAATTAAAACACGAACATTTAATTTACGATTCTCTTAGAAAAATCAATTTTATTGTAAACAAGCCGAATCGGAGAGTAACACACCAAACATTAAATCAATTTTACTTTTTATAAAAACTCTAAGCTAACCGTTGAATGACTTTCGTTCTCGTTCCTTCAGCAACTTTTCCAGTTCAAACAAGTGGTCATCGTTGTGATGGGGAAAAAATTGTCGCATTGCGTCGGCCAAACGGAAAACGTATTCGCGATTCGGACCGCTCGGCCCATGCGCCTCGAAAATCTGATTGGCAATGTCATTTAGATCATTTTTATGACCGGCATAAGAGTCATTTTCTTTTGTAGCGACATAAATCACAATATTTCTAATCGATTCGCCAGCTTTGTTTGCATTCAGTGAATAGAATGGCACCAAGCAACGCTCATACCCGTTTTTTTCCCGATAGTCCAAATGCTCTAGAACCTCTTGTTGTTTGGCTTTGGGTATTTTGTATGCCACTCCATAAACCACACTGGTTTCGTCATCCGCTGGCACAAGCGTCACAACACGACCTGGCTGAAAAAAGGAAGAAAAAAGAATGAAACCCACCAAAATTATGAAGTAAAATTGATGTGAAATATTGATTGAATCGAAAGCAATTTCCGGTCGACGTAATTTGTGTCAAACTATTGACGTGCCATTGAATGCGAGACTGAATAATTTATTTTTAGTTTAAACTTTCCGCATTCGGCCATTAGCAGCGATTAGATTGATTTCAATGTGAAATCACCTTTTCAACAGTGCCACGATGATCAATGCTATTCTGATAGAATCGCCGTTGGAATCCCTTGATGTAGCCAATTTGTTGTGTTTCAATGGGGAAATCCACTTTCCACACTAATGACCCGTAACCGAAAACCCAAAAATCCGAATCGATTTCATTGACGACACAGTCACCAGTGCTCAAACTTTGTAGATTGTTTTCATCGGTGTCGATGTTTGTATCTGTCATGTTTTCAGCTGATTGTTTTTTTTTCTATTGTTTTATTTTTTTTCTCTGGAACACACGCAATATTTCCGTAACTAACCAAACTTGTATTTTATTGAAAGTAGAAGAAAGAAGAAAAAAAATCCAAATAAAGCACGAATGTTTTTTTGGTTGTTGATAAACTTGGAATTTTGCCTTATTATACGATTCGAATGAACACTGTTCGACAATGATACGTTGTTTTGCCAACTAAACAACAAATTTTGATTATGTCTCTGCGCGAGCTAAGCTCATATGTTTCGATGACGACGACAACGACGTTTATATTTGTCATGTATGTCAAAGTCTATGTCACGCGCGCATTGAAAATATTGACGGGTAGCCGTGAATTTCATATGCACATTTTTCACTGCATTTGCTTATTTTATTGGTTGGAGTGCAGCAGCAGCAGCAGCAGCAGCTGAGCACACAATTTCCATTCATTATTGAATTTTCGTATCGATTTCATTAAAACGATTCAATATTACTATTGCCGTACTTCACGTCCGCAACATGGAATGGAAAATATGCGCGAATTTGCGTCATTCCAACGACTGAACGATACATTTTCAAATGAGTTTTTTTGTTGTTGTTGTTTTTTCTCTAGGCGATAATCTGTTTTAAGTTGCATTGCAATTGCGAGCGATGGGCAATGAGCATACGTCTATTAGTATGCGTGCGACAGAACCAATGCTATTAATTCGATATCAATGTTCGGCAAATAGGATTCGTTATCACTGCAAACTTGGCAATTTGTTATTACGACGACGATGATGATGATGATGATGATGGCGAATGAATTATTAATTGGATTAGCCCATCGCGAGTGTGCGGCGGTACTCATCGGCACAAATCAAAACAATAGTTAATGAACGAGGTATAATAACTTATCATTTGCAAATATCAAACAAGATACCAAATTGTTTGTGGTTCTTCTATATTCTGTGATGTAAGTGCGTCATTGTTTTTCATTTACCGCGTTGTTGTCGTCGTACACTACTTTCTAGGTCGACGAAATATGCAACAAATGAAACAAGCATCAGGTTCAAAGGTTTTTTCATTTAAAATTTATTTATCTTTTTCTATTCGTTGCGTGCGTCTACGACATGCACAACGCGAAAGACAATATTTGCACAATAGTTTTTTCTTCTGTTTTGTTTAAACTACAATTTTTCTTCTCTTCTCTTTTAATACTCTAACAGACAATACAGCTTCAGTAGTTGTAGTAAGGCTTGTAAACGTACAATTTTCGTTTGTGAGTGTGTGTTGTTATTTTTATCGTTCTTTTGATATTTTACTTTTCATTTATTTTTCTCAGGTAATGAAAATTTTTTCCACAATATCATAAAATCTAAACTGTATAAATTAGATATTCTATCAAAGTAATCTATTCTTTTTTGTTTTGCAAATTGGGTTTTTTTTCTCTTGTTTTCTGCCCATATTGTTTTCATATTTGGAATTGCCTAACGGCCAGTTCGACTTGTAGCTGAATCAATTTTTGATTCTCATCGAAAATCTCTTTAGCCAAAAAGTTTTTCTTCTGTTCCAGCATTGTATTCTCCAGAACGTATTGAGCAACAACGCGTTCATAGTTGGATCCGTCCGGCAGGCTATTCATTGTGTCACTGTTTGATGGCATGGAATTGGTGGTTTGTCGTGCATTTAAAATTGATTTCAATCGTGTCACTTCGGTACGCTCACTCTGAATGCGCCGTTGTAATTTCTGTTTCCATTGGTTGAGCTCGTGATTTTCCAGCTGCAGCCGTATCAAATTCAAATACTCTGGATGTGATTCCGGTAGCATAAGCAAGCCATTTTCGTTAACGGTTATTTTATCAGTCTCCGTGGCCGATGTCGAGGCATCATCGTGTGTATGAGATTTTTCACTGCGCGAACGTGTCGTTTCGCTGCTTGGTCCTTGGTCGGGTGCATCTTGAGGCGATGTCTTTGTCTCCGTATTCGATTCGGTTGAGACAATGGTCAACGTTTTCAACGACTCATCGTCCGAGCAAATTGATTTCGTTTTGATCAGCTGCGCCGTCCCCTCATAAGACAACGATGTATCCACATCACCGATCCCATCGTCTATACTCTTTTGCATCGAATCTTGACTCCGTTCGAATGACCTCAATTTACGCTATGTTGGAAAATAATTTGAATTTGTTTTTTTTTTTGTTATCAATTCATTATAAACGAATTTCATTTTTTTTTCTTCGCATGTAATGACTAACCTTCAGCTGTGTAATTATTCGCTGCACCTCCCATAATTGTTCCTCACGCTTCTTTGACACAAAGCCTGCATTCATTTCAGAATGGATTTGGCTCAATAAGCTCTCCTGCTTTTTCAACTCTTCATGAATTTGGTCGGGTGTCTCCGGTAAATTTGGACTTGTCGACGCTGATGTAATGGGCGGTTTGTACCTGTTTGAATGAGAACACATGTTTAGTTGACATTGAATTTGAACGAATTCATAAGGCAGATCGATTGTTTTCTATTAACAGAACAAAGATTTGGTTTTCATCGCGTTGTAAAGTCACTTTGAACGAAATCGCACTCGGTTTGTTTATCTCTTGAAACGCATATCATTATTATTCCAAAAGCTTCTGGAAAATTAGAATAATGACACATTGGTTGCACCATTATTTCAATTGTTTTATTGTTTTACTGTCTCATTCATCGTCGTTTGTGCATTGTTGGCAGAGCTCATTCAAAACGGATTCAAATTGAAACACGAACCGTTGCAATGCGATGATATATTTTTTTATCGTCAGATCATGAATGATCAGTATTGCAGCAAAGCCATTTTTACGGGCGTAAAATAAGAAAAAAGCTTGACTGTGTAATTCGTTAAATATTCGTTTCCAGGTGTTTTAATACAAGCACAAGTGAAAATATGCACCTTTTTGAAAATGATCGCGTCAATTTCCAAATGCCGCAAGACATGTTTTTTGTTTCGGGATCGGCGAAGCAAAAATGATTCCGTTTCACACTGATTGAGATGGAAGCACACACACACAGCACTTTTTAATTAGGCGCCAAATATCCACATCTACGGTTCAAATGAATATTATCGAAAACTGTTGTTTCTGGCGACGACGAATGATTATAATCACGAAAAATGGAGCAGTATCATCAAACGGTAAACTAGTGTATAATTTGTGCCTTGGACGATTGGCAATGACAATAACAGTAAAACGCACACACTTTGGTAAAAAGTAACAAGTGCACCGTTCCGATGTTCATGGAGTTTTGTGCAGCACTTTCCACATTTTATAAAACGCTGGCCGATTCGAGCTGTTGAGAAATATTGCGCTGATTTTAAGACTTTGCTGTTTTTTTCTCGTTCATTTCAAAAGAGAGAGAATTGCAACTGGAATTCGGTTACGTTACACAAAAGTGGAAAATATAAATATCGCCGTGTTTCTCGTGGATAGGTGGAGAGTAGCGAAGCGACCGCGGCAACGTACACACAAAAAATAAATGAATTAAATAAACACAATTGGAATTGTGCGCGCCGCTCGCTTACATCGCACGCTTGTTGAACAGGTAAAATGTTCGCCGCTCGAAAGGGAAAGAAAAAAAAACACGAAACGTTCAAAGCAATACACGAAAAACGAAATTTGTGTTTCAGTTTTGTCGTGGTTTCTCTCTCTCTCTCTCTCTCTCTCCAGTTTTATTTTTTTTCCTCCACATTTAACAACACATGCGGCTTTTACAGTGGTACAGAGTCGCGCTAATATGGTATTAATACTATATTCATCGCAAGGTGAATTATTATTATTCATTTGTTATTGTTTTGTTGTCGCTTGTGTACGTAGCACACTATTGTTACACCGCACACACCACGTCTGTCGGTTTCACGATGCTTTGCTGGCGTTTTCTTTTCCGAAATTCAGAGACGGAAAAAATGCTTTATTCACTTTTTCGTTTGTGGTAGACATTCGCATTTAACAATGCGAAATCTCGTGAGGGACTAAGTAAGCAATATTTCAGAGATGAAATCAGCTTGCTTATAGACTATTGAGGGATCTTCTGACGTCAGAATTCTATTAACGACAACTTTGGCGTCACAAGCCAAATAATTCTTGTGATTCGACGATGATAATTAAAACCTATTAAAGTTTCATTATTTTAATTTTTATCGCTTTTAATTAGTGATAATTAATGGAGAAGTGAATTATTTTTTTCCACCGGCACGAAATACGCCATTTCAGCCGATATTTCTTTTTTTTTTGTGCTTATCTCTACAGAGCATGCAGTTTGGCAACGGTGTGTTTGTGTTCATCAGCTGTGCTTTTTTTTCTCTCTTTTTACGTGCGATCATCCGTCCCAGTAAGAGGCTGAATATTTCAAAAGTGATAAATTTCGGGAGATAAACAGTCATAAATTCAGCTACCGTTGAGCCATTGTTGCGTTCAGCAACCTCATTTCATTTCATCCGTGTACGTACATTACGCTCGTGCATTTCTATTATTTCTAAAGACATTCATTTTGCAATCGTCAACACACAAAAAAAGTTCCAAAGCAATGAAATTCGCCAAAGCATCACTTCCAATAAAAAAAATTGCATTTACAGACACATGAAAAATGACTCTTCTCGAAAAAAAAATCTTTCTCCAGGAACTGAACGGAATCTATGCGGATTTGATGAGCTAAATAACCATATACTTGATTTATGTGATCGACGACAGTTTTTTTGTTGGTGAAAAATGTTGAAGCGAGTGCATTGAACTTTCGGCATGTGAAAATCGGTTAAACAATAGAGTGCAAAAAAAAAGTCTAAATGTAAAACTCACTTTGTCAACACAACACCCGGGAAGAGTACCGAGCAATGAGTCAACATTGTCACGAGTAATCGATGAGACATTTGTAGCGTTGGACCGAGCAGCATTGCCAAGGTTTGAATATTCATTTTGTTCGTTTTTTCATTTTTTATAACCGAATCGAAATGCAACAGTAGCCACATTAGTAGGGTTCGATTACAGCTGGGCAATTGATTGATGAGAACGCCAAGCTCTTGAATCTGTGCCGTTTGAGAGGCCACCTGACCAGTGGCCACCTCTTCGAAGCGCGGCAATAGGTCTGTTGTCAATAGTGGCTCAGGTAGTTCACTGAAAAAGGAAAACAAAGAGAAAGAAGTTTTGAATAAAATTGTTGTAAAGAACGAATGGGTCGGAGAATTTTATTGTAAAATGATCTAAACGGAAATGAAAACTCACTGTATAAACAATTTAAGCAGGCTGCAGGCGGTTGGTATGTCAAACTCAGAAGTGGGCACCGTTTCACGGTTATTGTACACTTGCTTCAACTGTTGCAGCTTCGTTTTGACCACGTCCACTTTGTATATCTGTTCGCTTTGTAGTCCATGTTCCTGCAGGTAATCGATACAGTCCCGTACAATCAATGGCAAATTGACGTTGTCATGGCAGTGACCCCGCACAACAGCCAAGCCCAATGAAACTCCAAATATCGGTTGAGCAACTGTCGAATCGAGAAACAGTAAGATAAATATTATCCATGTGGACATATGGTGCAGCGAGTGTACACGATAAATATGGCACAACCAATGTGTTTAAGTATACTGTGTGGCAACAACCGCTACAATATGCTCTGATAATAATATCACTCTCCAACTGAACTGGAACATGTGTGACCACAAAATGTGCGATTCATACAATTCCACAAAGTTATTTCTTTGAAGAAAAAAAAACTCAATCACATTTGTTTCACTTTTACCATGAGAAACGACCACCCACTTCACTTGCTGCAAAATATTTTTAATCAAATTAAATTACCTCCCAGTTCGAGAATGTCTGAGATGGTGTTACTGCTGGTTTGCTTAACTTTTTTTTCCTTTTTTTCCTTGTGTTTCTCCTTTTTGTCCTTTTTCTTGTCTTTGCTATCGCTATCACGCTCCTTCTCGCTCTTCTTCTCCTTGTCTTTGTCTTTTTCGCTCTTTTTCTCACGCTCTTTCGATTCTTTCTCTAGTTTCTTGTCACGTTCTTTCGATTCTTTTTCAGATTTCTCTTTGTCGCGCGATTTTTCACGTTTCTCTTTGCTCCTTGATGATGTGAATTTGAAAGTCTTTGATTTCTTTGCTGATTTCGATGGGCTTCTGGAAACAAATGAATACGTTACCACGCATATAAGCGCGTACAGAGTTATTGCGGTTCTATGTTGTAATAAAGTTGGTGAAAGTGCACAAGCTTACTTTGTTTCAAAATCTTCCTCCGAACTTTCACCATCCAATGTAGCGTATCCACGATCTTTTTTGTCTTTTTTCTCTTTGCGTCGACCCAATAGCAGTAGTTCTTTTTTGCTCACCTTACTTTCGTGGTCACCACCTTCACTAACTGCAATTCAAATCAAAATGTTCATCAATCTGTTGCAAGTCCACCTGTCTGGTAGCGAATCAATTATTACGTCGGATTGAAACGAATACTCACAGTCATCTTCGTCTTTCTTTTGATTGGCCGATGCAAATAATCCAGGAAATTCTTTCTCAACATCCGGATCGGGACTATCAAAATCCATTTTTGTGCGATAGTCAATTGGCGGGCGGTGTTTTTTTTTCCTTGTCTCACAGTGTTCACAGTCTCCCAATCGATGGTCGTCCAATATTACGCAGAAACAAAATAATATCGACCGAATTTCCGCTCGATTGTGATCTTTTTACAATTTTCCAATTTGTAAAATAAAAAAAACAACAACATATAAACACAATAGAAATTGTAATATCGATTTGATTGAATTTCAATTGGAAAAAAAACTTTCCACTTATTATTTAATTAGAAGTTAGTCATTTTTCTCATTCTTTCGAATGCACTTTATGTGTGCTGTGCTGTGCTGTGTTGATGTATGTGAAAACGTCAAACCGCTGAGCTGGTCTGCGTATGGGTGTACCCGTACATAGATTTCTCTGTGCGTGTGTATTGCTATCGCAACTGTATACAGTTGATTTTGTTGACAGCACACTGAACATCGTTTGAAGTTTGTGGCCTTGACCTACAAATTGGCGAAGCATTCAAACTTTCGGTTCAATATTTTAAAAGTCACAGTGAAAATAAATTCTCTTAATTCGACAAATTATTTTCATATGGAAGAAAAAATGGGCGATTTCCACCATTAAAATCGATCCGAGAATGTGATTCGTTTGCGTTAAAAACTTAAACCGTGGTGTAAACAAAAAAACACAACCGCACCGTTTGCCGATGAACCGCTACTAGCAACCGTACAAACGTCACCATTTTGACGTACACGCAGATCCAAACACATTCTCAATTCAGCATGGACTTGTGTGTGTGTTTGCATTTGTATTTGTGCTATTTGTGCCATTCCATTTGCGACGTTCCATAATATTCAGTGTGCATTAGTTGTGTGCAGAAACGAGCAGCCAAATTGTACGAGTACTGCCAACGAAAAAAGAAGTCTCATTGATAAATTAATTTTTTTCATTCATTTTTTTCTAAATTCGAACCATCTGAGTTTCGGTCATTTTCTAAACTCCACTGAATAGCGATTAAGTGTGGAAATATTGGATTTTCATCGTTTTCATGTGATTTTTGATCCAAACACGAATTTTTCTTTGTCGTTTATTGTTTGTGACACAATTATCGATTTTATATACTTCCGAATGGATGCACAATAGAGAGAGAAAAACACGCACCAGAGGTAAGCTATTTCATGTTATGCCATCGACCAATTATGAAAATATAATGTGAAAACCATGAATTGAATATGCACACGAGCCACCATCAATTTCCAAACAGTGGACTCAATTAAGCAGCAGAGTTTTCTTAATTTTTAAAAGTGGAACATTTTTCTCGTTGTTAAATGGCCAATTTGACCCAGTAACTGAAGAATTTGCAAATTTTCTTTTTTTCATTGCAACTCAGACTGGAGCGTGGGTGTTTTCCGTGAGTTTTATTTTTCATTTTTCAAACAGTACCACATTCCGCTGCTGTGTGGATAAATGATGTTACGTGATAAAATGTGTGACTGTAAGATACTGACTTCATCGTACATCAATCTATCTATAAAAAGACTTTATTTATGGCCATGTTCGTTTGTTGCGCTTAAAAAAATGAATATTTGAAAGATATTTTTATGTCGAACAACTCTGAAAACGATTATATGAATTCAAGTGATGCGATGAGACTTCCTTCTCTTTTTTTCCGTACGTATCACGTTCGTTCGTTCATTCACCCCGACGAAATAAATCAACTACATTATTCCTCAACATTCGTGCATTCGAAAGTGAAAAACATGGATTATTCATAATTTCGATTGAAAGTCAATTTGAAAAAGAAAACCCCAACAGTACGATGATGTCTGCGGTTAAACCGCAACTCGTATCATATTGTATGGCAGACAATTGAAACCTGAACTTTCTTTTTTTTCTCCTGAAAGACAACAGCAACTCTGAATGAATTTAATGCAGTTTTGTGCCACAGAAAAAAAAAGTTGCACAGCAAACCTTATTTCAACACCCACGATATTTATTTTACTCAGTTTATTCTGTTTTTACTTGCAACGAAGAGTAATAAAAACTGTGAGCAAGTATCACTTTCAACAACATGAAGAACGAAAGACGAACAATTTCATTTGTTTACATTCAATAAAGAGAAGAAAAGACCTGCTTTATTTTATACACTTTTAACATTCAATTTGTGCGCATAATTGCTTTTGGTGTGTCTGTGCCTGTGCCTTTGCTGAATACACAGGGTCGTATCTCGACGACCGATTCGGAGAAGAGCAGTATTTTCCAGTTTTAGGAATCAATCTATGCTTTAAGCCAATTCCATGCGCAACATGACTCATGCTCAGAGCCACAGTGGGTTGTAATAAATGTTGTTAAATTATGACCAGTGAAGCAAATAAAAAAAAACACCCTAGAACCTTTTTTCGTTGCGTCTTAAATGCGGCAAGTTGAATGTTAAACCAAATATACATGTAGTAACATAACACACATATGGCGCTCACTCTAGCTCAATAGATGGAATAAAGGATTGTTTAAATTATTCGTATTTGAATGATTCACACATGCACACACACACACACACAGTATATACTATACGGTTTGAAGTAATATATCTTCAGTCAGTTCAATACTTTGTGTTCAATCGTGCATAAGAAATATAGTATCAATTCGCTCCCGTTGAGTGTTGAACGAAATTCAGTTTTGCAATGGAGAGCAATTGGAGGTCTCGATTTCTCGATAGTTTCAAAACAATAAAGTAATATTTTTTTTCTCAACTTGGCAATTTAATCACTCATTCAAATAATTTGTAATCAATTCAAAACCAATTCCGACCAATTTTCTTTGATGGCAATTAAATTCAAATTTCTTTTTCTTTGCAGAAAATTCGAAAACTCAAGCAACGATACGCGATCGAAAATGGATGGATCATCATCACACAGTTTGACTCTGAATGAGGAGGCGTTCAAGCAAATTCCCGATCACAAGAAGCCAGTGTATGTGTTTGAATGGCTTCGATATTTGGACAAAGGCTTGGTTGCTGCTCAAAAAGTAAGTATTTTCGTTCATGTTTCTGTTTTTTTTAAATTTGTACTTGGTTTTAATCAATTTATTTCCATGTTCCACCACCATCGTGTGTTAGTCGGACATAAAAGCATGCCAAAAGAAGTTGGTGGAACAGTTAACCACGCAAATACAAGGATCACCAGGACCACCAACTCGTAAACTATTGGCCAGTTGCCTGTCAACGCTATTTTCAGTCGGTGATACATTTCTGTTGTTTGACACCGTAAACAAGTGCAACGACATATTGAAAAACAAAGATGACTCACCGAGTTTTTTGCCAACAAAGTTGTGAGTTATCATTCATCAAATCGAATATTCAAGCGAATTAACTGAGCTCGAGTTCGAAGTTGTGTACGTACTACACAAGATAACTAACATTATTAAATTGTTTTTTTCCTCTTATTCATTCAGAGCGGCAATTTGCTGTGTTGGTTCAATGTACGAGAAACTTGGACGAATGATGGGTCGATCGTACGAGGAGACGGTGCAAATTTTAATAAAATCATTGAAGAGTGCCGAATCACAGATGCGAATCGAAATTATGGTCACACTGGAGAAAGTGTGCAACGGTATGGACACGGCCATTTCAAATGTACACAAAGAAATCTACAAAGCTACCAAATACTGTTTAACCGACCGTGTGATGCCGGTACGGGTGGCGGCTGCAAAATGTCTACTTGAAATGATGAATCATGCTCCATTTTTGTACACAACCGAGTTGGAGAATATGGCAGCGTTGTGCTTCAGAGCGTTTGACGGTAGTAACTATGAGGTGAGATGTGCTGTGGCAAAAATGTTGGGTTCGTTGATTGCATTTACGCAACAGCAGCAACAGCAACATCAAACACTACCCAAGGGCGTTGTACCGGTTAAAGTTCAAGCGACGGCCAGGCAAACGTCCATCGATGAAGCCTTTGGCATTTTAATGTCTGGATTTCTGCGTGGAGGTGCATCCTTTTTAAAAGGAACTGGCGAAATGATCAAAGGAAGCTCAGGGGTGAATCGAGAGGTTCGCGTTGGCGTCACGCATGCATATGTGGTGTTTGTTCGTGAAATGGGTGGTGCATGGCTTGAACGAAATTTGCAAACATTTTTAACGCATGTGCTAGATTTGGTGGCCAATCCCAAAGCCGCCTCGTCCCATGTGGATGCCGTTTATTCGAGAAAATGCATAAATTTCATTTTACGAGCAACAATTGGCAAAATGCTCGGAGAAAAAGCACAATCGTCCGCATGCAAGGAAATTGTTCATGTAATCGCTAAACAAATGAGCACAATCGATTTCAATCCGGAAAATGCTAAAGATTCGAATCAAGAGACACTTTTCAGCCAACATTTGCTAGTGTGTGCGCTGCAAGAGTTGGGCAGTTTGGTTTTGAGCTTGGGAACAACATCACAAAATCTTCTCAATGATCAACATCTAAATTTCATCGATGCAACATGCGCTGTTTTGATACACCCTTGTGCGGCCGCACGATTGGCAGCCGCCTGGTGCTTGAGGTAAGCAACTATTCATTTTCAATTCTTTTTTCGATTCTTTATTAACATTTTGTTTTCATTTTACCACCTACAGATGTGTATGTGTGGCGGTGCCAAGTCGAATCACACCACTGATCGACCGATTTATCGAATCTATTGAAAATATGCGATCATCACCCGAAGCAATTGCTGGTTACAGTGCTGCTCTAGCAGCTGTATTGGGTACTGTTCGTTTGTCACCGCTCGGGATTCCGCACACAAAGGGCAAAATTGTATTTAACACCGCCGAAGAATTACTGCGATCGGCCAGTCAAAATAGCCGCTTGTCATTGAATCGTACACAGGCTGGATGGTTGCTAATCGGTGCCATCATGACATTGGGCGTTCCAGTTGTCAAAGGTCTTTTGCCACGAATGCTGCTACTGTGGCGAAACTCATTCCCACGGTCCGGCAAGGAAATGGAATCGGAAAAAGCGCGAGGTGATTCATTCACTTGGCAGGTGACACTGGAAGGTCGAGCTGGTGCACTCTCGGTGATGCACAGTTTTCTACTTCACTGCAGCGAATTGTTGACCGATGACATAACTCGACGTCTCATGACCCCGATTGAAAGCGCATTGGCCATGCTTGTTAAGTGAGTTGTTGCATGCCATTTTAATTTAAAGCGATTTCTTATTGTTAAAACTGTTGAAACCAATGAAACTGTTTTCTATTGCAAAATGTCCAGTCTATCGCCCGTGCTCAAATCATATGGACAACAGTTGAAAGCTCCAGCAGCAATGGTTCGTCTTCGTCTTTACGAAACACTCACCTTGTTGCCGGCCAGTAGTTTAGAGTCTTCCTACACCCACCTATTGAGAATGCTTGTGGCCGAGTTTACGCTTACTGAAAATCCAGCCAACACCACCAATTCGTTGCTACGTGAACTATGCCACTCGGACGATTCCATCATTTTGGGCACATGGCTACAGGAAACAGATCACAAAACTATCGAAGACCAGGTAAACACCACACTGACTCACGACGAGTCATATTCCTTGGTTTTATTTCAGTATTTTATTGGATTGGGTAGATAATACGCGATTTCATTCAAATTTAATATATTTTCCCATTCATTGTTCCGATTTTATATTCACATCTTTGTTGATCGATTTATCCATATATGAATGTATTCATGTTCAATCATTTTGAATGATGATTATGATTTTCACAACAAAAAATAGATGGAACCGAATCGGAAATCCCATGCAGAACATGTAAGTTGGGTGGAGAGTGCGGAATGACGTAGATTGAGATTTCACACACAACGACGAACCAACTGTTCCAGGGTTTCTCCCTCCTCCCTGTATCTCTTTCTCTCTGATTTGATTTTCTTTTGTTTTGCATTTAAACCATTTTCGATTGCATTTTATTACATCTATAGCTGATTTGTTGCAAAAAAAAAATTGGATTATTTTGCCCATAATAATCATAATAATCGTTTGAATCACACGATGGCTTAACTCATGACGATTTAATTTGTTGATTGAAATTTTGCTTTACGCATGGTCAAAACGACCATAAACACCAACAATTAATTATTATATGGAGCATTGATTTGACATTTTCTTCTTTTATTTTCTAATTTTTATGGAACATATAGCTTCAACCGAATTCGGCAGCTGGAAGTGGTGCTCTCGAACACGACCAGTGTTGTTTGTATCGACCGATGCCAAAAACGTGCACTTACCCCGGCCCATTGCCATTGGGTGTTGCTGTGATTGACACTTCGGTCACATTGTTCGGATTGATTTTTCCACGTGTGGCAAATAAACATCGTATTCAAATGTTTGACCATTTCGCCGAATGCATCAAGCATGCAAAGAGTTCACGACAGGAGGCCGTTCAGATGAATATTTTTGCTGCTCTGCTCAGCGGACTCAAGGGATTGAATGAATCTAAATCAACGATTGGACAGGATGATGTCAAGAAGAGCGCAACATCTTTGATTACAAACGCTTTGGTTTGTACCAATCCGATTCTAAGATGTGCCGCAGCCGAAGCATTGGGTAGAATCGCTCAAGTGGTCAGCGATTCAAAGTTCACTGCGGAGCTAGCGCAATCGAGTTTCGATAAATTGAAATCAGCACGTGACGTCATTACACGCACCGGTCATTCATTGGCATTGGGTTGTCTACACAAGTACGTCGGTGGCATGGGATCGTCTCAGCATCTGAACACAAGCGTATCGATTCTACTGGCGTTGGCACAAGATGGAAGCTCACCTGTTGTTCAGGTTTGGTCACTGTACGCACTGTCACTGATTGCGGATTCCGGTGGGCTCATGTTTCGCGGCTATGTTGAGCACACGCTCTCGCTGTCAATTAAACTACTGCTAACTGTTCCACAGTCATTTGTCGATGTGCATCAGTGCATCGGGCGTGTTTTGGCTGCAATCATCACAACGATGGGTCCAGAGTTACAGGGCAATACCCAATCGATTTCTACGATGCGCTCATCGTTGCTGTGTGCTTGTGCAATCATGCAATCACACTACGATCCACTGGTTCAGGCCGAAGCGACCGGGTGTCTTCAACAACTTCATCTGTTTGCACCTCAACACGTGAATCTATCAGCGTTGGTGTTATCGCTTTGCAAAACCGGTCTAACCAACAACTATTTGATGCTTCGCAAGGCTGCCGTCGCGTGTTTGCGTCAGTTGGCTCAGCGCGAGGCGAAAGAAGTATGCGAACATGCCATGAATTTGTTCAGCGGCGACGATCCCAACTCAGTTGACGTGTGTATGAGCCGTGAATCTGGCGGCTTACCAGGCGTCTTATTTGCAATGCTTGACACAGAAACCGATGCTGAGATGATTAAAAACATTCACGATACCCTCAATTCGATGCTGCAAATGCTCGCATCCGACAATCTATCGCAATGGTTGACAATGTGCAAGAATGTGCTGACCGTGGCAAATGACTCAAACATGCCGTTGGGCGAAGAATTCGGCGGAATGGATGCGCTGAAGATAAGCGGTGATAATGGCGACGACGAGAATGACGATGATGATAATGATGATGATGTGGCCGATTTTCACGTTGAAGAAGACACATCGAAACCAAGCGTTCAACCGCGATGGCCGACACGTGTGTTTGCCGCAGAATGTGTGCGGAAAATTATCAGCACTTGCGAGAGTGCAAACCCAATTCATTTTGATTTGATTCAAGCGAAAGAGATGCAAATGACCAAATCCAGAGCTGATTATCTAATTTTACACTTGTCCGATTTGATTCGAATGGCTTTTATGGCGGCCACCAGTGATTCAGATCCACTGAGACTGGAAGGATTGAAAACACTGCAAGAAATTATCGATAAATTTGCACGAGTACCAGAGCCAGAATTTCCCGGCCATCTGTTGCTTGAGCAATTCCAGGCGCAGGTAATAATCGAAAAAGAATATTTTTGAATCAGTTTTTCATTCTAAACCGAGGGGCAAATCACTCTAAAGTAATTTGTAACAGAGAAAGTAATCGAGTAAGTAATTTAGAGTGATTTGCCCCTCGTTCTAAACCGTCTTTTTTTTTGTTCGTTAATAAGGTTGGAGCTGCGATTCGTCCAGCATTCTCCAATGATACTCCATCGCATGTAACAGCAGCCGCATGCGAAGTGTGTTCAGCATGGATTGGCTCTGGTGTGGCACGTGATTTGAATGATTTGCGTCGTGTGCATCAATTGCTCGTTATTAGCTTGTCTAAGTTGCGTACAAAGACGGTCAGCACGGAATTGTACAACGAAAGCATGGCAACGCTTGAAAAACTGAGCATTCTGAAAGCATGGGCAGAAGTTTATATTGTTGCTATGATTGGTAATTTTACATCAGTTTTATTCTGATTTTTTTAAATTTGAATGAAAATTAACTCAGTTCAATACATTTTTTATCACTTATCACAGGAAATGGTTTTGCACCGGCCAGTTTGATAATGAAGAAATTGTCGAGTTCTTCAAATGTAAATTACACGATAATAACAACCACAGTGACGACACCTTCAACGTCTACTGCTGCTGCTCCAACAGACAATTCCGATTTTGGTGATTTTGAGAGCCGTGGTGAAAGTCTTTTGTCACTCGTGAAACCAGAATTAAATAATTTGTCAACCCATTGGTTATCCGCGCTGAAAGATCATGCCATGCTGTTGCTTCCACCTGAATTCGCAAGCCAGTTACCACATGACGGTGGTGCGTTCTATACCAATGATACGATGAATTCATCGAAACCACATTACTTAGGTGCATGGCCACAAATTCTGTACGCCGCTTCGCTTTGGCTCAATTCGAACGGATTCCGTTTGGATGCGGCCGCCGAGGAGGACGAAACGACGCAGAAAGACGATGAAAGTAGCGGAAAAGTAACTAACAATAACCAACCGCCAGTGAGCCATGGCAGTGTACGTGCTGATCGTTTCCATTTGGTGTTCGGTATTGCAATGGAAGCCATTTGTAGCACACGTTCGAATGAGAAATTGGAAGCGGTGCTTGCATGTTTGCAGTCAATGTACACACTGTTCGATGATGCTTGGGCTCGCGAACAACTCTACATGGAGCGTTCATTGGCAATTGAACTGTGCAACGTTTTGCATCGAATCATTTTGACGCGTGACAGTTTGGAGGTGCAATTGCTGTGCATCGAAATCTTGAAGCGTGTAATTCAAGCGGCCAACGAATCATTGGAACGGAAAAAAGAGGAGAAATTGTCCCAGGTCGAGGATAATGAACTAAAGACTGAAATGGCAAAGGATTTGGACTTGTTGGGCGAAGGTGGTGAGGGTGGTGAAATTGTGCCCGGCCAATCGGTTGTGTATGCTGTGCTAGAAGTGTGCCTTTGTTTGTTTGTGCGTCAAATTCCATCCATGAATCCATCGCCGACCACATTGCGATTGACCAACGAACATCAACGACAGAACCAAATTAAAATCAATGCAAACGGAACCATCACACTGGCCGAAGACAATAGTCTGTTGGTGGCCAGTGCATTGCAATGTCTCGAACATTTGATGCAACTGTGCTCACCGAAGGGAGCACTCGAAGTTGTGCCTAGCATATTGTACTTAATAACTGGTGTCATCAAGGAAATTGCAACAAAATCAATTGACGATCAAACAATCATTGCAAACAGTGGAATGATGCAATCGGCGCTGCATTGTTTGCGTTCGATTGCCACCGACAAATATGTAAATGATGAACGCAGCGCAGCACAACTACGTAAACTACTGCAGTCGGCGTTGGCATGTTTGATTGACTTGTCGAAAACGTCGTCATCCGGCAACGGTGGCGACGAAACAAAAGCCGACGAAGTTACAATGATGTTAGGCATTGCATTGTTCATTCTACATGCACCAAGCATTGTGTCCGTGCCAAATCTCAAATTTCCATCAATCAATCATTTTCAACACTGTCTGCAGAACGAAACGAACCCAATGGTCAAATTGAAGTGCATTCAAACGACACGGTCGATTTTTGTGAATGCTGATCTAAAAGTGGCAACACCATACATTCATGCACTGGCGCCGCGTATTGTGGAGGCATTGTGTGCGCCAAATGCAAAAACACCCAAAACCGAACTCG